CGCGGAGCTCTTTGAGCTGTGGGATAAGGGTGTTAGTATATTGCTCCCGATGTAGAAGTTTGGGAGAAATTGTGAGAAGGGAAGTGGATAACGTACACGAAGTTCCATATCCGCAACGATACTTTTGACATCGGCGATTCTGTGTCTTGTAACATCATTATCTTCTGATACGGCCGACTCTGCCAATTCAACTTCTTGATTGTGTAGCTTGAGTTTGGTGCTCTTGATCGCCAATTCCAATTCTTTGACAGCTTCAGCTCTCATTTCCTCGTCAACATTGTCGGCTCCTGCGTTGGGCTTCTTATCGTCGGTTTCAGTTTGTGTAATTGATGCAAATTCGAGGGCGAGGGATAATTTATAATGCGCTTCGGCAATTTGTTCATCTTCTTCTGGGAAGAGACTCTGTTTCAAGGCGAGGGATTCCTTGAAATCTGCAACTGCAGCTGGAAATCTATGTAAATGTTAGCAATTGATGGAAATTTTGTAGCATAAACCTTATGCACCTTTCATTTTCAAGAGAAATCTCTCCCAAGAGATCACGTGTATCCGCGAGCCTCTCTTTGATATGGGTAGTCATAGGATTATCGCCAGTCTCTTTACCCTTGCCCTCTCCCTCATCCGCCTGTAACCTCTTCTCGAATAATACACGGGTCAAATCCAGGATGTCGAAAGCAATATTGAGGGGATCGTCTTCTTCATCTTCTTCCTCTGCTTCCTCTTCCTCCTCATCTGAATCTTCAAAATTCTCGTCTCCCGTGAACGTAAACAGAGGCTTATTTGGATTTGTGCTAGAACTCTCCTCTTTCTTGGTAGCGCCTCCATTTGCAATTATCGCAACCTCTTCCTCGGCCACCTTATCTGCCTTTTCTTCTGCTTCTGTCTTTCCGGCCTCATCCTTTTTCTCATCTTCCGTCTTAACGGTCTCATCTTCTTCTGCAATGGCATCTGATTTCTTTGCGCCATTCTTCTTCTTAGGCTTTTGTTTCTCACCTCCAGCTCTACCACCCAATACATCACTTTGTTGCTGCGCAACCTTGAAGAGGGCTCTTCCATACAAGAACAGAATCTCTGCATTCTCCGGTGACATTTCTCCGTTGATTTCAGCCTGCAATTCGGCGGCTTGCGCATAATGATCTACGGCATCGTCGTAACGCTTTTGTGCATATTCAGCAGTTCCTTTTGCACAGTATTCAGCGAGCGATACTTTGGCCGAATTGTATGCTTCCAAATCTGCGGATGCTTGCGCGGATAAGGTGATGGGTGGCTCGACTGGTTCTGCCATTATAGCTTTATAGGTGAGCAATTGGGAATTCAAGGTGCGCGAATGAGATAATTGGTAGAGCTTTGGGAAAGGTCAATCTTGTTGTTCAATTGTAACTGTAGAACGTTAACAATTGATGAATGGTGGAGTTAGGAAGTGATTTAGAAATGAATTTAAGATAAGTGAATAAGATGATAACTTGTTTTTGAAGCTCATAGTCATAAGTTACTGAAGGACTAGATTTGCAGGGATTAGCTGAGCTTCACGCGAAACTTGAAAGCACTTTAACTTTTACGCGTCAATAACGCGTCTCACAAGCCTTGAACAAACGTATGAAGCATATATGAATTTACGAAATGCATGATTGAAAACGATTCAAACGACAATTTATATGGAAGCTTGGAAACTTGATTGAAAATATGGCTCGCCTCAATTCCACCACGAAATCAAAAGCCCCTCCGCTCTTCAGACCTCCTGCTACCCCCGCTACAAATTCGAATCCCATCCCCTCATCGTCGCCTGCATTTGCAACACCAGTACATCCTATACGACCCTTTAATCCCATCGCAGCTCCTATACCAAAAGCGAGTATTCTGCCAATTCTCCTTCCTCCTGCGACTTTAAGACCATTGGCTTTTCGCACTTTCACAAAGAAGCATAGTTTAACATTGACGTCGTCGGCATTACAGGTGTTGGCTACTTTTATTGGAAAGCATTGTGGAACAGGATGGAGGGAAGAAGGACTGGCAGAGAGAGTTTTAGAGGAGGTTGCAAAGAGTTGGAAAAATAGGAGTGGTGGTGTTATTGTCGATGGAGAGGGGACGGAATTGAAGGAAATTCTGAAAGCTCTGGAAGGGAATATGAGTGGTGGAAGGATAGTTGTAGGAAGAGAATTAAGCCGGCAGAACAGTTTGGTATTGGGATCATCACAATATGGAGAGGTCAATCATACCAGACTTGGACTACGGCCAGGGAATATACCTAGAGAGGATAGTCAGTCAAGCTTGGGATTGTCAACGTTGGAGGTTAATGATGAGGAAGATGAGGATGGCCTGATGGATGCAAGGAAGTGGTTAAAGGTCATCGATGCTTTTGAGCAACCTCGACTGGTGTATAATGTTGCTAAAAAGCACTTTGATAGGTATGTTTCAATGATAAACTTTCATCTGAATCGACTAATGCAATACAGAGATACCTCCAAACCTTCATTATTCCCACCAGCGTCCCATAAAACACTGCTCTTCCAAAACCGCTATAACGTTATACATCAACGTCTACTTCGCAATGAATCTTTCCAGACGCCCGCTTTTCAAGGTGGCAAAGCTTCCCTTCAACGTAGCACATCCGCCATTACCACCCAACAACAATCATATAAATTAACGCCGATAGCTAATCTTCTCGGCCGCAATCGCAGCACTCACATGCTTCTCGGCCTTCTCAGCATTTCACCCACTGGTACCCTCGCCATTAATGACCTGACGGGCAGCATCGCTCTCGATCTTACACACGCAACAGCCATCCCCGAAGATAGCGCCTGGTTTGCCCCTGGAATGATGGTACTCGTAGATGGCACATACGAGGAAGATGAAACTGGAACATCATCCCGTCTTGGTGGAAATGGGGGCGTAGGAGGTACTATTTCCGGAAAATTCGTCGGCTTCTTCATCGGCCATCCTCCTCCCGAACGCCGTCATGTGACTCTAGGAACTGCCGGTGAGGGAGATACCACAGCCGGTGGTGGTTTCGGCTGGGTAGATTTTCTAGGTGTCGGTAGTTCTCGTGCCCTAGGCAACAAAATGCAACGACTGGAACAGAAGCTTCTCCGGCCACCTCCCCCTGACACAGGTGCGGATGATCCCCCGCCGCCATCCAGAGGCCGTGTAGTTATTCTTGGTGATGTACATCTTGACGTCCCTCAAACTCTTCAAGCCCTTAAAAAGATCCTCTCTCTATACTCGTCTGAACCAGAAGGTTGCACACCTATGACCTTTATCCTACTCGGCTCTTTCGTCTCTCATGCTGTACTCGCTCGGGGCGGGTCGGGAGGCTCTATAGAATATAAAGAATATTTTGATTCCCTCGCCGCCGTTCTCTCCGAATACCCTACCCTCCTAAGTACGGCAACATTCATCTTTATCCCTGGCCCCAACGACGCATGGGTTTCAGCCTTCTCATCCGGGTCTACTGTTCCTCTACCCAGAAAACCTGTACCGGAAATGTTCACTTCCCGCATAAAACGTGCCTTTGCAAACGCAAATACTGAAATGGAAAAAGAAAACGGAAAGAAAGGAGATGGAGAAGCCATTTGGACGAGCAATCCAGCAAGAGTCAGTTTATTTGGCATGAGTTGCGAACTGGTAGTATTTCGCGACGACGTTAGCGGACGATTACGTCGTACGGCCGTTACTCTCAAATCATCTCAAAAGTCAAACCCTGAAAACGACGAAGATGAAGATATCGATATGTCGCCACCTCCCTCCTCAATTCCCTCTTCCACACCTCCTCCAGAAATCGACCCCGATATCCATACCGCGCGTCGTCTTACTAGGACACTCCTCGACCAGGGACATCTCTCTCCCTTTCCTCTAAATATCGCACCCCAGCATTGGGATTTCTCAAATGGTTTGAGTATCTATCCATTGCCTACAGCAATTGTTTTGTGTGATGTAGATAGTCCGGCATTTTGCTTGACGTACGAGGGGTGTCATGTTATGAATCCAGCGGGTGTGGTAGCAAAGGGAAGAAGGGGCGTAGCGAGGTGGATAGAGTATGATGTTTGGGGACGGGCTGGGAAGGTTAGGGAGGTGGGATTTTAGGGCTATGATTAAAGTAAATGATTTTGGTTCAACAGGATTTGAATTTAAAATGCTAATACTGTATTTTCCTTCACGAATTGTTCTTGTATATCTTCTTGAATGGAGCTCTTGTCCGATAGGCGAACTCAGAGTTGGGAAAGCAATTTCTATATTGTCCATAGTTAGGCGTTGGGAGTTAGATACGAAAGAGATGGGTGTCAATGAGCAGCATTATAGAATCATGTACGATATTCAATCGACGTATATATGTCAACAAATGGTATCGAGGACTTGTTGCTATACACAACTCTCGGTAGAATATAATATCGAATCTTTTTAGTATTCAATCAATAATGCAATGATCAACAAAGTTACATATTGTGCAGGGTGAATTCAGAGATACCGAAGATGATCTCTTAATTTTCCGCTGAGGATATCGTCAAGTATGATGACTGTTATCAACCCATGGTTACATTCCTACATCACACTAACGAGACGTAATTAGTTGTCCTACTATATCATCCACAGCATTGTTATCTAATTCACATGATTCAACGCAACATAACACGTGGGAATGGATCAATACACGTTTATCTCAAACTCTGTCTTCTATTAACCTGCCTAGTTTGGGAAGTGCAAATAAATGCAACCCAAGCAGTTTAGACGGCGGACATTAAAATTCAAGAGCTCCCTCCAAAAGGTGAACGACTCGGCCAAATCCGAGTCCTAGTCTTAAATCCCGTGATATCAAAAGCTCAACACGCATGATTATTCCTCTGCCAATCCATACATCTCTGTGGCTCTGTCGTTATATACATTCGACTTATGAGTCTCTCATGTCCCACTCGCCGATAACGCCATAACCTATAACCTGAATCCCAGTCATTCGTCCACAATATTGAATAGTGTGGATATTTGGTATAATGCTTCTACCCAAAGATTATTCAATAAGGGGCACTCGAGGGTGTAGTACTACTGCTGCCACGTAAATGTGACGAGGAGCCCTTGAAAAGGGATTGCCATACGAATGCTTCTCCCAGAAGCATATTGATATCAGTCTCCGTCCAGTTGCGAGTTGGTAGCGCTTGAAGAAACATCATAATCTCTTGGAAGTCCATCTTTAGTAATTTAGAGGACCATTTTACAAGAAATGCGAGGCACACATATAAGTGAAATTCTGAGAAACCTTGCTCCTCGGCCTAATTGTTCGTGTTAGTAGTGGAAAAGAAAGGGGGAATTTGTTACTAACCAAGTAAGTGTCCCACATTCTAATAGTATTCTGAACACTAATCTCCCGCATCAAAAGACAGTTCATCCATCGGAAACTAAATTGTATAAATTCAACGCCTTCTGCTTGGAGATGCTTGGCCAATGGCTCATCGATCCTTGCGGTTAGATCCCGAAGTGACGCCACTTGACGTTGAATCCCTGGCTGCGCAAAAATATAGTTATCCTGAATGCCATCCAAAAGTTTTGTTAAACACCAAAATGAATCTGCTTCAACTGCATCTAACACTGGTTTTGGGAGCTGCCCTGGATCCATGCCACTTTCTACATCTGAATCTGCGATATAGGTTGCGAGGAAAACCTGCCAGAATGGCGTGACAAGGTCATTAATGCCTTGAACATAACCACTTGCAGGATGGCGAATCGCCCAAACATATAGTATCCTTTCTAAAGATCGTTGTGTAGCTTCATAACTGTAAAGCTCCAAGTGAGGATTAGTTCGCGGAACGTCGATGCTGATCTGGTGCCAAATTGCTTCATCAAGTCCTCTGGCTTTGCCAGTGGGAGCAGAATTAGTGCCGCCTTTTTCGAAAGCTTGTCGTACCCCATCAAGATATTCCTTTCGTTTACGTTCCAGTGTGCCTACGCGTCTTTCGCTGCTAGTCGGAAGATAACCAAGTAGGAGTTGCCACGACATCGCACGAACTTCTTCTGGTATTCCATTCCAAGAGGCATCTCTGAGTTCGGTCAAAGGTATCGAGGTAGCTTGTAATATCTTTTTAAATTTGTTTATTCGCGTTATCCGGGCTCCGTGTGCTTCTACTTCTTTCGATGTGGCATTAGGTGGTACTGGAGGGTGATCTATTAGGTGTAGAGAATTTGCCGGATCCCGGAGTATTTCTTTATATTGAGGCCGGAGTATCTTCCCTTCGCTCTTTTTTGCAACTGGATAACTTGGCGCTGGTCTTTCAATCGCAATATCTGCACTGTTTGACATTCTTCGCGACCCTAAGCCCATTGCACTCGCCCCAAAACTAGAGCGCCACGGAGTGGTACTACCTTCTTCAACTGCGGTACCAGCTGACGCACTTTTCAGACGGCTCTGGTTCTTGCGCTTCTTGCTGGAGATACTTGGAAGGCCAAAATCATCTCCATCATCATCCTCATATCCATACTCATCTTCTTCCTCCTCTTCATCATCTGCAGCCCAATCGTTATTGGTATGCGATATGAAATCTGTATAGGTTCTACGAGGTGGCGGGGACAATGTTGCCGGACCTCGTTGCGGTGGAGTATTGCTTCGATGCTTGTGCGAAGGATTGGCAGGAGGCGTTCGGGGGCGTGAGGTGTTAGATAATGATCTAAACTCTAGGTTAGCTGGTATTCTACAACACGATGACATTGTGAAACATGCAGGTTATCAAACTTCAGTATGTCGGCATGAGAGTATCCAGCCCCCACAACAAGCCCGGGTCCCGAATCGCTACTTTGCTTCTTAGGCGATGCATCACGGCGACCACTTGCTGTTCGGGCACGCCAAAAAGGAGATGATGATCTGTTCATGTCAGTCCCTGGGATTCATATCTCAAAACTGCAACTCAAAGCTTCTGCCAAGCGGAGCGCAAAGAGATCTCGATTGGAAACGTACTCAGCACGCTCTATAATGTGAGGTCAGTTATCAGTCAGATATAGAGAACGTATCGCGCATAGTAAAGCATGCAGAACTCTGCGCATTCTTCAAGACAGAGGGTACGGGGGGGGGGGGGGGGGGGTAAACTGACCAACCTGAACCATCTCCTACAATAGTGGCTCGAGTCAGCTGGATAATACAGGCAACTTGGACATTGGCATTGCATACCTGTTGTACTGGTTTTTTGCTACCATTGGAAGAAGAGAACATCTTCACAACCCCTCATAGAATGGATGGCCTAGTTGCAATACTTTGTTTTTCATTCCTTTCGTAGTCTTTCTATATTTCGAAGTTCAATACTGTTCAATACTGTTCCTTTTGTTTGAATGTGGTATGGTATGGGTACATTGCGCAGGCTCAGGCGGGGAAAGCCCCGCTAGCTCAGAATTGGTACGCTAAAATCACACTAAGGCGGAACGGACCAGGGCCCGCCATGCTATCGATTCAAATGTTATTATTGGGTTTAAGACCTTTCCTCCTTAGCAGACCTTCCATTTAGATATTGACTCTCTTGAATTGGAATCTATATCAATCTTTTTCTCTCGATTTACATCACTTACAATCTCCTTTCCATTTCCGCATCAACCTCAATAACTCTCCCAACACACTTCTTGAATCTTCTAAACACTTCTAGTAACTTGCGATCAAGACTGCAGCCCTTTCGCAAAGCTTCTTCATCGAGAAGTACACGAAACGGCAGTCGCGCATCGTTTTACAAATTTACCTTGAATTGAATTGGATCAACTTATCTCACAGAAAACGGACAGACTCATCATGGCTGAAGCCGAGAATTTCGAGGAAGATCTCTTCGCTGACTTGTATGTACTATTCACCTCACACCTACTTTCCAAAATTTCTCTGGTCGCACCTCTCAACACGTCGCAAAACATTCAGCTGATACATTGCATTAAGGTACACCGAAGATGACAACGCCGCAAATCCATCAGAGGCACTGGCTGAACCTACTGCCCAACCATCAGCCCCAACTACAGAAACCAAAGCTGAAATACAAGCCGAACAAGATATTGAACAAAATCCACAAAATGGAGATGGAGATGAAGATCAACAAATGTACAACGGTGAACAAGACGTGGATGAGGACATAGATTTCAATCTGGGAAGCGGAAATGGCAATGGGGGTGGTTATGATGCTCCTTCCAGCAGGGATGAAGCACAAGGCCCAGGAATTAAGGAAGACGGGTAAGATTACAGATTTTTTCCTTTACACTTTATCATTGCTATTCTGCACATTTGCAATATGACTGTAGTCACGGAGCTCCGGGCTCAACTCACACCAAGCATGGTATATGGAGATCATGGATATGATGGGTTGGGATTGATGCAGAGGTCGAGATATGAGCTGGCAGCATATCTGGAAACTGGAGTTGTAATCATGAATGGAATCAAACGAGATGGAGACGGGTAAATTTGGATGGGAGCTTTCGGGGGTTTATGTGACTATGTGAAGGGGTCTTGGAGCGCTTGATCCAATATTATATCCTGCTTTGGCATTGGGTATTTACTTTGGACTTGATTCAAGGCTAAGGGAGCATGGAGAGGGAATGGCGTTGGAATAAGCTCAGAGTCATTTGATTTGAGATAATTGGGTATACACACCACATGCATTCGCCATCCACAACGGCAATAGTCAAACCTGCTACTACTACTACTACTACTATTACATAGCCTATTGTCGATATAATCTTCATAGAGCCACAGACACAGATAGGCCATAGCCCATAGCTTCGACGCCAGTACCTAGCATCACGATAGCAAAAAAACGCGATTTTTTTTTTGGATATCTTATGGTGCCATCTGTTCTATCGTTATTGCATGATTTGCAGGCAATGTTAGACGGTTATTGCTTGGGTGTGTACCTGGCGTTAACATCATGCTGGAAATGTCGAAAGCTCCATCAAATGCCAGATGTGGTCCCTTAAACCTCAACCCACCCTTGCTCCTTCGCCTGCAGCCCAGTTACAAACTATTTTTCCAGTCAACAATCGAGAAAGGATGTCATCTCGTCCCCGAGATGTGAAACAGCCCAGGAGAAAGCACTGTTGCACTGATTGCTTTGAAGATAACTAATATGGAGCGACTTCTTTGCCTGTTCTCATTGTCGCCATATGAATTGATAAGTATAGCCAGAATGCTAACTTTTTCCTGCTTAGTAAAATGTTCATTGGTGGATTGAATTGGGAAACGACAGATGGTGAGAAGGCCAAATATCATAGTCACGCTTAACCCCTGTATGACAACTAACATTAGATTATAGAATCATTGAAGGATTACTTCTCACAATTTGGTGAAGTACTTGAATGTACTGTTATGAGAGATGGTGCCTCTGGTCGATCTCGAGGATTTGGATTCCTGACATTCAAAGATGCCCGGACTGTCAATATTGTCATGGTTAAAGAACATTACCTTGACGGCAAAATAGTAAGACCCGATCTCAAAACTTTTAACAATTCTTTACGCTCTTATCCTTCCAAATTTCTCCCAATGGCTTCAAAAGGCACTCACTCACATTCAAATTTTAAGATTGATCCCAAACGCGCTATTCCCAGAGATGAGCAAGAACGTACAAGCAAGATTTTCGTTGGTGGTGTCAGTCAGGATGCTTCCGAACAAGATTTCAAAGAGTACTTTACACAATTTGGACGAGTTGTAGATGCTACTCTTATGATGGACAAAGACACTGGTAGACCACGAGGATTTGGATTCGTCACATTCGATAGTGAAGCCGCTGTTGAAGCATGCTTGGAGGCTCCACTCGAAATTCATGGAAAGCCAATCGAGGTCAAGAAAGCCCAGCCTCGAGGCAACATACGAGAAGAGGAAGAAACCAGGGGGCCACGAGGCAGTCGATTCAAGAAAGGAGGAAACGCCAATGACGAATTTCAGAGTTCTAATCAACAGCAACAAGGTGGTCAGATGAATGTCCCAGGTGGTATGACTCCTCAATTAATGGCTCAATATTGGCAGCGCATGCAACAGTATTTTGCACTAATGCAACAACAAATGGCCATGGGAGGAGGACGAGGACAAATGCCAGGCGGGATGCCAGGTGGTATGAATCCTGCCATGATGGCCCAAATGGCTCAGATGCAGCAAATGCAACAAATGCAGCAACAAATGCAAGGGGGAGGAGGTGCTGGCGCGCGTAGTCAAAGTCCTCAAAGTCCAACGGCTGGAATGGCGGCAATGGCTAGTATGAATCCAGCTATGATGCAACAGATGCAGCAAATGCAACAAATGCAGATGCAACAGGCCATGGGTGGACAAGGAGGTAACTTTCCAGCAGGAGGTGGTAGTAATCCAGGTGGTCGAATGGGCACACCTGGCTATAATGCCTATGAACAAGGTCTCTTTGAGCAACAAAAATACGAACAACAACAAATGAGACGTGCTCAACGCGAACAATCTCAATATGGAGGTGGCGGTAGTGGGGGTGGATATGGAATGGGCGGAGGTGGTGGACCAACTTCTTGGGAGGGTATGTATGACGATGTTCCTCAACCAGGAAGTGGTGGTGGTGGCGGCTCTCGTGGTGGATTTGGTGGTGGAAGAGGTCGTGGAGGTGGAGGTGGAGGAAGTGATAGGGGATCTGCTCCTCCTGCGGCCGCACCGAATGCTCCTGCTGGTGCTCCGACAGGTCCGAAGAATGCTGGAAAGCCTGGTGCGAACTACAGAGGTGGTGGAAGGGGTGGCAATAGAGGCTTTCATCCTTATGCTAGGGGATGAATGTGGCACTCACTGTCCCTTGAGTTTTCTGGCCGAGGAGCGCCTCTACGAAAAGAGTCGCCTGAATCAATATTCTAGTGGTCGTCTAGCCATACATGAACTTATGCTCTTCGGCGCAGTCACATTATCTCACGTACATTCAAAAATCGCATCTTTGCTTAGCCTTGGTATCATTCTCGACGACTCATTTCTCGTTTACTTCTTTCATTGTCATATTTTGATCTGTCAACCGGGGCCGCGGTGTTAAGGCTGAATAGTTCATGAAGAGCTTCAGAGTCTGATAATTATTCCACTACAAAATCATCGACATGGAAAAGATTGAAATGGGGCCAGTAATTCAATATCAAGCTTCCGTTATTGTATGAAAAACCAGAACATAACAAATGACTGGGAATAGAATTGAAAAACAGTTGCCATATGATTGTTGATTCTTCCTTGCATGTAATACTCTTATTAGATTCTTTTATTTGATCAACAGTGACTCGTCATTATTGTCTTTGACTTTGTTAAACTCTTATTTGCCTGCTCTAGTTAACCTATTTCCCTGTCTTGAAAGGCTACCTAGGTACCTAGGCAGGCTACTTTTGGCATTCCCATGTTTGTGTTCAATTCGTAATTCGATTATAGACATAACTACCTACTTAACAATAATAAAAGTCTATAATCGAATTATCTGTCTCATGCAAAGTTGCAAAAATTCACCGTGGAATAAATACTCAATTATGCTCAAAATGCTGAAGATAATCAACACAGTGTGGTGTAGGTAGGTCAAGTTCCTACATGCTGAGTCAGAATTTAACTTTTCCTGCTGCGCCTACATAAGCCCTTAAATCGCCTTCATCAATAACACAAGTAATTCCATCAACATTCACAACATAATGTCTCTATCTTCGAGAACAGAGATCAAGTCGGCGTCGTTCCCTCAGTTTAACGATTTTCCCCCGGACATCCGCCAAATCGTATGGGAATACTGTATTCCCCTACCTAGGGTGGTTGTTTTAACTCAAGAACCCATCAAGACACCTGCAAATTCTGTGGGCGACATTTGGGCATTCAGGTCACAAACTCCAGTTCCTGACATCTTGTTTGTCAATCGAGAATCTTATCATATCGCAACAAGATTTTATGAGCGCACCTTCAAAAATGGATATCGCGAAGGCACTCACACTCTTCCCGAAACTTGGTTTGACTTCAAAAGGGATATTCTATACCTGCCTCAGCAACATGTAGCCGTCCAGCTTAGTGATTTCCTCTCTTCCCTTCCACGGTCAACTCATGGCAATCAAGATACAGGAGGCTTTAGCAGAGTAGATAACCTTGCATTACCAATAAGGTGGTTGCCCAATTTTGCCCGCACTTCGGACGGCAGCATACATCAATCCTTGACGAGATTACTAGGCACATTCGGTGGTGTAAAAAAAGTCTATTTTATAGCTGGTCAAGATCCCCCTCACCCTTGCACAGAGAACGACGTTGTTTTTCAGGATGGATGGCATCTTCCTTGCAGGTGTATTGAGATGTTTGAGTTGTCAAAAGCGCGGGATACACCCCTTCTAGCTCCAGAACCATTTCCACCTTACTCTGTTGCAAGGTACATAGCTGAAAGCGAAAATTTTGTCGTGGATGAAAAACTACTAGATATTGAGAGGCAGAAATGGAATGATGATGTCGCAAGTAGCTCAAAGAGCTTGGCGACTAACATTACAGATGAACGAGATGGACCTGACAAAAGACATTGGGAAATGCCTAGTTTTGAGACCAAAATATTGGTCAGTCGGTACTACCAGGAAAAGTTTAAGACTCAAAGGCTGGAATATCTCAACATTATTGAGGAAAATGTGAAGAGACACAAGAATCACAAGGAAGACGAGTGCAATTGCGGACCTGTTACCTCCCCAAATAGAGTATTCCAGGGACAGCGATAGGTATTTAGAGGGTTATATGATTGTTGAGTCCCTGTCTTCGAGTGCTTGCCTCAATCTGCTTTCAGGTGATTATAACTCCATCATCGTTATCCGGCATCTGCACCTTCACTCTTGCTAGCTTCTTTCTTTTCACATCGCCCACCATCACATCCTTTATAGGTGCGCCTTCCTATAGTGTTGTACTTCGTGCAACCTGGCGACCGCAACATTTAACAAATGAGGAAAGTGGCATAGACAATACGGCCAATAATCACAAAGCAAAGACCCGAAGATAATGCACTCTATATCTAGGTATTGGACCTGACCAAATTAGGGTTACAAAATAGGGATATGTAGATTACATCCATCAAATTCAAGGAAAGAGCGCGCGATGCACGTAGCGACTATATCAATCTGGATGAAATCCAAATGGGGCGTTTGACTACCATCGGCCGCATCTCCCTTATTACTCCTCATACATGATCATAATTAATGTCGAACCTTGCTTAAATACTCTGAGCGACAATGTCAACACAGTATGACGAGATTGGTGCCAATTATGACCTTTTTTGCGATGCTCCAATTCAGCAGATAAATCATGCAGCTATGATGGAACACCTTGGCCCCATTGTTCAATCCAAGCGAATCCTTGAACTTGCGTGTGGAACAGGTTTCTACACTTCCAAAATGTTACATATGGGGGCTTCTCATGTGACTGCGGTTGATATCTCATCTGCCATGGTCTCTGCTGCTCAAACCAAGATTCCAGCTGAGATGAAAGATCATGTCACTTTCTGCACTGCAGATTGTGCTCAATCATCCATTTGGAATGAGGTCCAGCTTCGTGATCAAGAAGGAACTTTTGATATGGTTGTCGCAGCTTGGTTTTTGAATTATGCAGAAACACGAGAGGAGATGCGGAGAATGTTTGAAAATATCTATTTGGCTCTGAAGCCTGGAGGAATCCTTATCGCATTGACTGTTAACGCGTCGATAATCGACAGTTTTCAACCAAATGACCCACTCAAACACATAGAGGCACATCTTGGTGCAGTCTATGATGTTATTGGGATCGTCGAGGGAGGATACAAGATGCTTTTTTCTAGTGTAGGAATGGGTGAGAACGACATCAAGTTCGAATTTTATTTCTTGCAAGAGAAGATTTATCGTCAGGCAGCAGCTGAAGCAGGCATGAGTCAGCTTGAATGGAAAGTGGTATTCCCAGGCGAAGAGCATCTTCAAATGAAGGTAAGAAAAGCTTCGTCTTTTATCGACCGAGTTCCTTTGGCTAATAAATGGTTTGCAGGGCCCGAATTTTTGGCAACCATATTTGGATCGTCCTATTAGCGCCATTTGCTTTTCGAGAAAGCCAGATGTGGAGCTTCGAGAACAATGTTCCATTGACATAAATTCGGGTTCGGAACTGCTAACAAAGATTGAATAGTCATCAATCTATTTGACGAGCTCTGGCTTTCCCTCCCTTTCCAGTAGTTCTCAGATCCCTAGGCAGTGATAGATAGTACCAATATAAAAAGATGACATTTCAGACAACATTTGCCTGAATATTATCGTTTTTGTTGTACCAAGCTATTGTGAGAACATCCTCTCTTTTATAGAAAATTAGCCATGGCATCTCAAGGCTCGCTTGAAAAAATGATTAAGCGGTTTCATAAAAATTTGGGCTGTTGAAATTATTTAGTATTTAACAGGGTAATTCAAGTCACTAGAAAACCAACTAAATATGAACATATTGGACTCCTAAGTTCGGATTTCTTACATAGGTAACATTAAGGAAATTTCTGACCGCTTAGAGGGAGAATACGATGTAATGGAGAAATATGTGGGTTCCCTTTACAGCGCCCAATGAAATTATCAAGAAGTCCTGAACTTATAAGCCAATGCCACTATCACCCCTAACTGTTGTTCTTTGTCCTTTCCAGCCATATCTTTAGCTGCCTTGTCAAACAGTCTCCATACCTCAATAAACTTATTGTCGCTATCTGGGCTAGTGCCAATGGTTCCAAGGGCGGCTTTCATATTCTCATGGTTTTTGAAATGTCGAAGATCATCAAGGGTCAAAGAGCTTGGTACATCTGGATGGCCCTTTTGCCGAGACATTTGCGTATGTATTGAAGCTAGTTGCACGCAGCAAATTACAAGAGCAGCAAGGCCAGCACCTAGAGCAGTTGCAACGGAGGACCCGGTCTGTGGCTGAAATTCCTGGCTGGAGTCATCATCGAGCGAAGCATTTTCTGCGACTTCGTACCCGGGGATAATAAAGTCCAAGTGTATGATGTTCGGCACCCAGTCCCAAACATTGCCGTTGGGTTTTGCAGCGCCTATCTTAAACATTTTGGTGGGATTAGAGGCGGCGGGATAATCGTTGTCTTGATGTAGTCCTTTGTCGGCTGCAGAACAGAACAGAAGAATCCCTTCTTTGACAGCACGGCGCACTGCCGAGTCAAACTTTTCTTTATCCTCGCTATTGCTATCGGGTTGCTTGATTGTCCATGACATTGAAATTATTTGCACTTTACGATCTACTGCCGCATCAATTGCCTGCATTAAACCATGAATCAGCACGCGTAATTAAGTTTGATTGCAGTCATGGGAACACATAATTGATCTCACCTCTGCAGCGCTTCTTGCCCCAATTCTGGCCTTCTGCTCTTTATGGTCGAAATGCGTTTCAAGCTTGATCACATAGATCTTGGCCATTGGGCATATGCGGACGATGTTCTTGGCCATCATAGTGCCATGACCTCTTTCCGAGATCCAATGGGACCGTATGCGGTTAGCACCCTTGTCTCCGTAATCGAAGCTTTTGCCGTCAGATATTTTGCCGCGAAGCCGAGACTGAAGAACGTCTACGCCGTCATCTATTAGCGCGATTTCTACTGGCTGCATGAGAGCTTCCTGTTGCTGAAGTTTTTGTTTCATCGTCCAGGACCAGACGTTTTGGAACACATCTTTGAATTCATCCATACAATTGAGCCATCTATGAGGTTGTAAAATATGTTCTTGCTTCATCTCGGAGGCTGCCAAATCAATGGTGTGTAACCGTCTATTTTGGCCATCTTCATCGCTATGCTTTACCTGGATGATCCTAGGCTGAATAGAGAGTGGCACTGGCTGCTCAACAGGTAATGAAAAAGTTCTCTGCTGTTCAGCACTCGATGTGCCACTATTAAGTCGATCGCAGAAGCTATCAATCTTCTTTTGCATGCGACTGTGGCTTTCTAGATCCTACACACATGCAGCTTAATAATCTTGTGATTCGAGAAAGTAGGATAAGAGAAGGCTAACCTGTTTGACATGAAGATGAACCTTTGTCAAATCCTCCAACCTTCTCAGTCCTTCTGGCTCGCTCCAGCCTCTAAGCACAGCGTTGTTTCCACTCCATTGGAGATGAACCTCCCTTAATTTCCTACTCGATATAGTTCAATCTGACATCCGTACTAGGCTCTCGTTCTTGCTGGCTTTGATCTTTCAAACGATGAAAGTATTAGAACGTCGACTGTAGCCATGGTAGGTAGCTGAGGTTGTGGCTCTCACCAGATCAAAAAATGCTGATCAATTTTAGATCTCTTTTAGTGCACCCCATCGACATCGATCCTTTGAGGATATGGAAAGATCTATTGCTAAACTGCTCTTGAAAAATGGCGGATTGCATCTACAGAACTTCATGGCCGCTGTCAACGGACTTTCCCGAGCAATTGTTGATATCAACAGCTTGTTTATCTATTCTAAAGTAATCATTCATGTCCGACTGATAACCGTCTTCTCCTCGTCCACGGATCATGTATTGCAAGTAAGTTAGGCTCTACATCAGTTTTGTTATCCAAAAACTCCACTCAAGAACAGTTGGCTAATCATATAGGTATTTGACGAGTTTATGTCAACGATGGATGTTCCCTTTGAACGACGAATAGGGATTGATCGTCCTGAAAAAGAGCTTCCTTGTAGCTCAAAGGATCACAGCCAGATTTCTGAAGGTGTTCTCGATTTTATTTCATATTCTTCGGATTCTGATTCTCCTCTGTCTCGTTGTCTGAAAATTATGCTATCACAAGCTTCTCCTGTATACTCTCCCAGTGTGACTGACGATCTCTCGAACTCTGAGGACCTAACCTGGATTGCTGGAAATACCAACTTCCAAGAATGGTTGAGCGCCAAAAATACAAACATTCTCCATATGCATGGCAATTTTGATGTTTCTCGGTTTACGAAGTTCCTTACACAGCAAATTGAATCCTGGAAAGATGCACCAACCGACACCTCTGTTCTTTATTTTGAATTCAGGAAGCATGACTCACGGTACAACAATTTAAAGTCTATGTTCTACACGTTCTTGGCACAATTAATTAGTCACTATCGCGAGTGCTCTGATGGCCTTAACAAAAATCTTGAAAGATTCCTGAATTTCCATAGCTGGACCAATCAACATCTACTCAATTTCATATATTTTCTGCGCATCGACAATTCGATAGACAATGTGAGGTTCATTATCAACGGAATAGACGAGTGCGAAGAAGATTGTGGGTGGTTTTTGGCCAATCTCGCATTTATTTCCAAAACTTCTGAAACTCCATTCAAGGTTATTGTCACGAGCAAAAACCATCAGCCAATTCTGTCCAAATGTTTAACTATAAATATGGATCAACACAAGCCCAATTCAACTCCTCAGCTGAAAGCACCATCTGCAGTAGCATATGCATTATTACGATTATTTCAGGAGCGCCCACAGTATTGTGATCTCGAAGCTTCGCTAAGAGAGATACTCAGTCAAGCTAATGAAGACTACGTGTGTCATTTGATTTTAGACTGGCTTAGGTTTAAGCCTCATTCAACAACAAAATCATGCTTGAAAGAAATTTTGCGAAATCTGTCGGTTGTCACTCCAGAACATATCCTCACAGTAATCATGCATTCGGTGCCTGCATGGAGACAGCCTTGGGCTCAAAAGATCCTCCAATGGGTAACCTACTCCCACCATCCTCTGACAACTTGGGAGCTTCGGGGAGTTAACGTTAATCTTGATGCGGGAGTTTTAGATCAGGAGGAATGCACGGTGGAAGAACTTATGGAAAAGCTTCATGAGACATTTGGTGGCATATTGGTCGTAGAGAACAACGAAGTTTCATATCGTCACCCATTTATAAGACACTTCTTTACGACTTTGGCTCCTACAAATGCATGGTTTTATAGCGGGAGCCGAGTAAGATCTCATAAGAATATTGCAATCTTCTGCCTTGGGTACTTGTCTTTAATCGAATCTCAAAAACGCGCAGCAGCGTTCTATCGTGTCGATCTCCATGGAGGTCCGCACGTATGTCCAGTATCTGATTTCAGACATGATCTTATCTCATACGCCACGATTCAATGGCCAACTCATTGCAAGTTTGCTATCTCAGAAGGACTAGAATCAAGTGATCTACTTGTTGCGGTTGAGACGTTTCTAGGCCAAACAGAGACCAGGGATATTTGGGCGGAGACCTACCACATTCTATCGCATCCTATTACGAGGCCCAAAGCCCCTCTATCAACAGCTTTCGTGATTCTGAGCTCACTAGGACTCAATACACTTATTGCTCCGATAATCCATAAAAACAAATACTCACAAGATCTACATAATGAATACGATGCGGCCTTGGTCGAAGCAGCGCGTCATGGTCATGAGGATACTCTAGAAATTCTTTTAAACAGCTTCAGTCCGACCAAACCTACACTTGAACTATCAATTCGCTCAGCGGACTACCGCGTCTTATTTACTCTTCTTAAATGTACCTCGAGTTTATCTGACAAATATGATTATTCTACCGAACTTTTGTGCAGAGCGGCTTGGCTCGGACTAGACGATGCCGTAGAATTTCTCATCGGAAAAAGTGTCGCAGTTGATTTCGAGCCGCTTCCTAGAATGTCACCCCTCTGTCTTGCTGTACGAATGACTCACGGACGGGTTGTCAAGTTGCTAATATCCGCAAATGCAGATCTCAATTGGTCATCAAACGGAAACCCTCAATTAAATATAGCGTGTTCCATTGGGAGCCTCGAGTCGATTAAGTTACTTTTAGGAGCTAAAGCAGATATCGACTGTAGAGACGATACTGGCTTGTCGGCGCTCCAAACCGCAGTCTTCTGTGGCCATCATGAAATTGTTCAGGAGTAAGTAGTGAGATTCTTCAGAGGACAAGCAGTTGTGCTAATTCTCATATCAGACTTCTGAGTGCAGGGGCTGACAAAAGCTACCCGGGTGACGAAACTCAGCCTTTAATCAAAGCCTTAGCATACGGCTTTTCCATATGCTGTCGTGCGCTTGTGGAAGCTGGGGCTCCTACAACAGCTTCAGAAAGCTCTCGCCCTCCATTGTGGTTTGGTGTTGACCATTTAAATAAAAAAATGTGTGAGCTCTTGCTCAAACATGGAGCAGATCCGAACTGGAAAGCTGGGTCGGATTATGCACCAATTTTGACTAGAGCTGTTCAGGGTGGTGGGAATGTTGAGTTAGTGAAATTGCTCTTGGACAACGGAGCCGATATCAATGAGGTAGACGAGTCCTCCAAATTTAAGAACTCTGTGATTTCAACGGCTGCAGAGTTTGGTTCGACCGATATAATTAAGCTCCTTGCTGAAAGAAATGCGGACGTCAATGTCTCAGGAGATGAGGGCGTCACCCCAATTTATCTCGCAGCCCGCTCTAACAAACCGGAAACTGTTCAACTACTACTGGATTTGGGAGCAAACGTTGAAATGGATGAGAAGTTGAATGCCGGGTGGGGCCCTTTGCTCATTGCATTCGACTTTGTTGAAGTTGTGCGTATTCTCCTACAAAATGGTGCTGACATTACTCGAACTTCCTCTGGTGGCAACATACTTTCTCTCGCCAGCAAATACAATGAGATTGAGGTCGTAAGAGTTTGTCTGCAATATAAGCCGGACTTGAATATCCGGTACCACCACGCTGCAGCCAGATCCTACGAGGGCGATACAGCTTTGACGGCTGCAATTCGCGGAGGACACACCGAAATTGTAAGGCTCTTGCTTGAGGCTGGCGCAAATCTCAATCAGCGAGGTTACTTGAATAAATACCCTTTGCAATTTGCATTTACCAACGAGGCTTCCTCTGACGGACCTTTGCGAGCTTTACTTGAATATCGTCCTGATTTGGATCTCGTTGACGATGATGGGAATACTGCGCTGCATTTTTTAGGAAGAACGACTCCCTTGACCTGGGTCAAGCTCTTGGTGAACGCCGGAGCCAGTATAGAAATCAGCAACAAAAAATTCATAACCCCTTTAGGCATCGCAATTTTACGTCACAATACCGAAATTGTTGAATATCTTCTCTATAAAAATGCGCAAGTAAATCTTACGGGTGGAACTTTTGGCACACCGCTTATTATTGCTTGTTGGACTGGCGATTTACCCGTCATAAAATGTGTGGTAGAGAAAGGGTCTGGAATTAATGTGGACTTAGCAAGTCCGAATTGGTATGGTACAGCTTTACAGACTGCCTGTTGCAGCCCAAAATGTCCAGATAGTAATGAATTTCCCTTGGTATCATATCTCATCGATGATGCTAAGGCGAACATCAACGCATACGGCGGAAGAATAGGATATGCAATCAATACAGCCTGTCTTTACAACGATTCTTCACTTGTCAAATTTCTATTGGACAGAGGAGCGGATTCAGATGTTGCAGATTGGATGGGCCGAAAACCGATTCACCTCGCAGCTCTCCGCACAGTCGACCATTTCAATCTACTCTCCGATGACAAGTTTATTAAGGCAGAAGACCAACTAAAGAGGATACCCTTGCACTACGCTGTACTTAGTGGCAAAATTGATTTGGTTGCAATGGTACTTGAGCGCTCGATAGCTTCCCTAGGCCCAGACGTCGTCAATTACCCTGACTGTGACAACTGGACACCACTTATGTGGGCTGCTAGAATTTGTGGAAGATGGGATACATCAATAGACGGTCAGCCTGAAATTATCGAGCTCTTATTGTCGAATGGTGGGAGTCTTTTGGTGAAGGGGGAGGGACTTGATCGCGAATGATCCCCTTTAAAGGTCGCTCGATATTACGGAGCTAGTGAAGAAGTTGTAAAACTTCTGACACCGGATACCCTATCCCCAGATGGTGAGAAATGGGTCAGAAAACATCATACTTCAAGGAAAGCTTCCGTGAAACCTTCTAGATGGTGTGACGGATGTCTACTCGTAAGCTTCAGAATTTTACTCAGTTCAACTCACTTGAGACAATAATCTTGCATCTACTAATAAAAACAATCATAGGTAATTGTGGGGACATGGTTTGAATGCCAAACCTGTTGGGACTTTTATCTTTGTTTCAAATGCTACCGATCAAGAGACACTTTACAGCCTGATTGTTCTTTCGAGGAGCGTGGTACTGAATATGACCCTGAGCCTGAAGCCGAGCCTGAGATTAAAGAAAATTCTCTTGATTATGAGAACAACGCAACTTTTGCCGAAACTGAGAGTTCTGACGAAGAAAGCGAGGAAGAAAACTCAAGTAATGGTCTTACGGGAAACAAAGATGATAGCAATGTGGTTGATTTAAAAGAATATGATGACGATTCTGGTGAAATTGACTGAGATTGATGGGTTGGTGGCGTATCTCACGTCAAGTTTCAGGTAGTTTCGATATTCTGCTCATGTACTTGATGTCATTATAGAGCAGTTTCTTTCCTTTGAATTTTAAGGCTTTGATATACATGTAGGAATTGCAATAAGGAAAGCCAGTCTAAGTTAGGGTCGCGAAGAGACCGTCTTTTGAAGTTGTAGTTTTTTCCATGTCACATTGGTATGATATCTAAATATCGATAATCTTCTCGACAACTGGAATCTCGATATTGATCAAATACAAGATTGTCATTCAAAACTACACTTTACTCTTATGTAATCGAACTAATTATGAAATCCTACAGGCTCATCGATCATGTAGATCTTTTCATATGTTTTCGAATGACCGTTACATCAAGTTTCCATCGCTACCTATAGCTAGGTACCTGCTTCAAGTAGGCTCTAGCGAGATATATGTTTTGAACAGACAGCCAGCCAGCATGAACTCGACGTAACGGAACAAAGTCCCACGCGTAATCTTTGTCAATCTTATGATCGAAAAAGATTTCACTACGTTCTCTATGCTCGTTGATCATCAAGTGCCATAGGATATTTCCACCATCTGCAGTGAAACCATGACCTCGCCTGTCTTTAGTATCTGCTCTTCTCGTTACTTTGTTATCGCGAAGCTTGAATAACGGGGCAAGTGTATGATCAGTCTCTGATACTGATTGAGGTCTTTACTATTCTAGCTACTCGAGTATTAGAAAAGATTAGGAGAAGATTGGAAGCGTTGTGATCTCACATCCGTGCGTGACAGGTATTGCGTTGCATAGCGACACAGCCACAATTTAATCTGCTCCAGCAAGGTTCCCGAGGTCCCGTCAGGATTAGTGCCACAGCCACAGATACTCCAAGCTGGAGGACCTCGGAGAATCTTGCACCCGTTCGCCTTTTGCAGAAACATCGATTGAAATTCAACCTGATCAACTACCGAAGAACAGCTCCCCCATACACCATTCATTATTTTGTGTTTATATAGATTCTTTGATTCACATCCCCGCCTCCCCAGAGTCCTCAAGTTGTTTAATTTACAAATAACGATTTTCATCCATGAGCTATCCGGTGCTTCGGATTCTTCTCGTTCCGCTTCCGGCTCCGCAATGCTTTTTATTTCTAACAAGCAACGCTAGCTAAGACCCTTAAATGAACTCAATTCCTGCGAGCCTCGGTAGTACGCTATTCGTAGGCCTCTTGGGTGCAGATCACTACACCTCATGGACAGCTGTCCTCTTTCTTGCATGGTTCTCCTGTCTGAAGTGTGATGGCTTGCCAGGTTGAGATTTAAGCTGCTGGGAGATTGGGCAATTAACGATCATTTCCCACTTTCAACGTGAGTACCGTTGCAACACAAGACCACCGTATCTTCCAGCATCCATAAAGCCAAACGTCAAGCTGGTGGATACCGAAGGGACAAAAACCGAGATCTTTGCACACCTGGATATTTCACATCTATGGGAATGGTGAAAGTACAGGAGATGGCTGCACAAGCTGTGCGCTTGACCAGGGAAAGCACGCGGGCGGCGGTGTCATAGAATTCGGAACACGTCTGAAAGAATAGAGAGGCTGGGACAGGAAAAGGTTAATTTTATTTCGCGCTATGTAGCAAGATGGTTCTTGAAGTGTGGATGCCTTGGTAGTCCCTGGTTCATGCTGTAGGATGAAAGGCACTTTTTGCACTTCACTGTTGGCACGAATTTTAAGGATCGTTCTTGATATACCCCCGAATGTTTGTAGAGTGGTTAGACGTACCCCGAGGGTCAGTCAATTAGAGTTAGTCAAGCTCCTGATCCAAGGTCCTTGTTAGACGCCCCCTTACTTGTATACTGCAATTCTCTTTGGCTTGGAAATTTAAAGCTCGCAAGGCCGCTTCTCACTGAGACAGATAGAGATGCACAAAGTTTTGCAGCTATTCTTTTAGAAGTTTAGGTTCGAGAACGGGAGCAGGTGTGGGTTATGGTCTGGTCTTAATATTCGTTGTCGGGAGTCTTTACGACTCGTTTCTGTGCCAATCGAGAACCGGAAATACGTCAAACCCAAAATTACTACTGGTTCGTACTACTCACTTCTGACAGCTTGCCAAGCTCGAAGAAGTTTAAACACATGATCTTGACCTTTTCCATCAACCCCACTCCCGTAACATCCTAAAGAGTGTGACATATTTCTGAAGCGCAATGTAATCAAGCTTAGATCTTGAGTTTAGCTGAGGTATCACTCACCACAATGCTTGGGGGTAGGACTGGCTTCGATCCCTACCAAAGGTTTACTTCATTCTGCTGCGAAGAACGTAGGCCAAACAAACGAATGACAGTAACTACGAAATCTTCAATTATCGTGCACAAGCATTGTATTCCCCGTAAGTCTGAGATTTAGCTCCAATAACCAGTGGTATTCTGCGTATCTCCGTTGCTCATCTTGTGACGAACGGTGAGGGGATAGCAAGGCTTCCCATTGGCTCAACCCAATCTAAGCGATATAGAAGCAGCTTAGCAGTAAGGCGGGTAACCAGCAGCAAATTTTCGTCATTGGAAGGCTTTGAATGTTCCCTCAACCTAACAATAATATCCAATTCTAACCCTCGTTACAATGTCTTGTTCTATCACTGTTTTGATCCTAATCCTCAGATTACACACTCTGTAGCCAATATAAGCTTCAATGTTAACCCGGGGCTCGATGCACCAGGTCCAATGCGTCAGAAAGATCCTTTGTATTGTGCGGGCTTGCCCTGCCCTCGATCCCTGCACCCATGTAGTGGGCCATTATTGCATTACGCCGACTGCTTCGAAGTCCATGAAAGCCTTCCACAATTCCTTTTAAAAGATCACCGAAGCTGAGTACATGGACAAGCGCTTGCCACCAGGGTAGTGGGAAAGAGGTTTGTTGGCAAGGGAAGTGCATCATGTTGTCGGAACTGGGACTTTCCGACGTCCGAGTCATATTGCCGCCGTATTCTTGCCACGGATATGCCCAAAGATGAAGGACTGCTACACCTGCCATCTCGATGCATAAAAGAGTGTTCGGAATGCCTACAGATACTGAAGGATACGATAGTTTGTCTGTAGGCTGTAATTTGCCGTGTTCGGCGGTAAGCCGTCCGAAGATGAACTAGTGGTGTTAACGTTGGGAACCATATGTAAGAAATCGCACAAGCTTACCGACTGGACATAAAATAGGAAAACAACCAACTTGATGGCCACGAACTTGAGAAGGGGGTTCCGTTCCGCGAGGACTACCTTAGTCTGGCTATAGAATTGAAGCAGACAGAACATGGCGGTGACCAGGGAAATAATCTCAATGATCTGGATCTACTTGCGGTACTCAGTCTGTGAGGCCCTTTCTTCACTTCCAAGACATTTATTCACGTACCCAAATCCTGCCATGTTTAATACTGCTGGATTCTTCGCAGTAGACACCTGCAGCTTCTGTAATACATTTTACAAGAGCTCCGAGGAATTTCACCACACAGAACTGAAATACGGCAGCCCATATTATCTGTCAAAACCCTTCATTAGCAATGCTTTCAAGTTCTTCTGGGCTGAAAGCTGCTGAGGGAATACTCACTCCAAACCACTTTAGCCCATCTTCTGTATAAGTGGTTTTCTTACGCCAGATTTTCATTCTTAGGAATCGGACTGGATATAACCAGGGTTTGGGCTGGACAAGAGCAAAGACTCTGCGAAGCGAATGCATTTCTATATGCAGATATCTGCAGAGCAGTATAAAGAACGAAGCGATGACAATTGATTCATAAAATTCGTATATGGCACCAATGTAAACATTCTCCCTGTAGTATTGGATACTGAATATGCAACATATTGTGTATACAGGGACCATGAAAAGAATCCGTATAATTCTAGCAGTTTTGTCAGAAATTTTCAGAATCTGGTCAAAAGCTGGTCGACTTACAACTTTTGCGTTTTAGGGTGGACGTAATTACTGAGATGGCGCCAGATCAGGTAAAACGATAGACTGCATGCGATTATGCTGCATACAAAAGAGATGATTAACGGAATATCATGGGCCTCTAAGTTCCCCAAGATGTTTTTTTCAACGACTATTGGCAGTTAGTTCTCGACGTAGGTACTGCGATGATACAACTCACTGGGAACATTAAGAGGATGACTGTTGCACTTTGCCATGACTGCAGACTTTGGATTATATTCAATGCACTGCTATCTAGTCACATCGATGCAGAGGAAAGACATGATATTTGAGAAGATTGAGAGGTCTTCGGTCGAGACAGATACACTATGCACAAGGCACGCTCCAACTCCTATCCACAGGCGAGAGCAGGGCTGAAAAGTACCGACTTGGCACGCATGTGATTCTTGGCAAGAAGGCTGTGCGAAGGTTAGAAGAGTGATTATAGCAATACAGATCCTGCAGAAGCAGCCCGATGCGATGAAAACAAGCAGATAGTAATTAGGAAAAGCGGAACCAAAGATGATGTCCACAAAGAAACTTTCTTTCTACCTTCGTAATTCTACTTCCGATCCCCCTTCACTTATCATTACGTTCATTAAGCAATTTTGCAATCCTATAACAACTTCGGATTGTTGTTCATCCGATTATCCGTCTTCAAACTTTATAGTTCTCGGTCACGAGATCTACATTAATAGATTCGCTTATCTTGTTGTCAGATTCATCATTACCTAGGTAACTATATTAAGGTTTCAATCTTCATTTGCGAGATCAAGCTTGAACGACAGCTTGATGCTTGGTTTTGGCGAATGTGAAATTATGCTGATCAAATGCTAGAATAAGGGGTAACTTGCTCCTCACTGCCTAGTATGAGTATGCTTGAAAAAACTTCTGAATAACATGAAAACTTCATTGACCTCACACTATGCACTACATTTATATACTCTGCTCCATTCTACATAGGTATGTTTCAGTTCATGCACAAATATTCCTTTCATCTTCTCCTTCATTTTTCACTCAACCTAAGTGATGTTTCAATAATACTCACAAGAATTACATGAACTGATTATGTCTCATATGTTAAAACGATTTCCCTTCTTTGGAGTTTGAGAGAGTCAAAAGATTTCAGGTATCGAATGTTTCACCCCAAAACAGATATTTTGAAGGAAATAGACATTTCTGGAAGATATTAGAAATAGCTCATGAGCACTCGACCCCTCTGTTCTCTCTTTCTACATGATGTCTTTCAAAACTATGTTTCTTTATAAACTCTGGGTATATCTAGCAGCCATATCTCTGATTCCTGTCAACTTCACAAAGATCATTGAATAATAAAATTTCTAACTCCACCAGTTTGACACCAACCGTTTCATCTCCCTACTAATCCCACTATATCTCTAGTGTCTTCCCACCCAGGGTCAAAGCCGAGAAGACAGAACCAAAGATATATACTCATCACCTAACCGATCCAAGATCACCACATCCATCAAACCCAAATTAGACACTCGCACCTCTCCAGTATCCATTGCACCTGCAGCACTCAGCTAGCAGAAAACCAAACACGCAACACGAAACATAAAACACACAAAGGAAACTTACGAATTGCAAACAAAATTGACAAGCACACGGAGAACTTCTCCATAACAAAACCCCACTATGACTTTCTCCCTCTTTGCAAGATAATTTCCAAACTAGTCATTATACAACCACACATCCTTCAATAATCTCATCTTCAGCAATCCAGTATTCAACAATCCCATTACCACAATGCACCCAATCTCTCAGCGGACGCCCTCGTAGTAAAATTACCCTCTTAGCCGTACTCTTCAAAGCGACATCTGGGTAGTTGTTTTTCAGAAATTCTATCCCGAACACTCAACACAGAATACTGAATACAGCTTGACAGACACATACATACATTCAAGTGAATATACTCAAGAATATATCAGATATCCAAAGTCCACACCGAGAACAACACCTACTCTTTCAACAAAACTCTCCAGGGCTGTCAACAAAACACCTAAATTGCATCTAGCTCGAAACTTTCTCTCACTACCTAGGTACCTACCAATGAATCCCCAGAATACCACTAAAGACAAGAAAGAATCTATCTTTGTACAAAAAATATATCCTTATTTAATTTCATTTTGGGAACATTCACATACACATACACATCCATACCCAATCTACCATACCCACACCTTTCCATTCCATCTCATCTCCCCAATTTATCAAAACCCAAACACAATTTATCAACATCACCAACCCACACACACACACACACATCCCCAAACTCCTCGCTTCCCAGTCCTTACATACCTACCTACCTAGATATCTATCCATCTATCTTCTCTCTCACTCAACCACCCATCTAGCTAATATAGTATATCAAATCCCAAGTTCCCTGTAATATCATAATAACCAGCTAACTTACTCTCATCTCCATCTTGATCCCATCTCAGCTAATATTCACCACCTGGTCTCCAGACATGAAGATCTTATACTATGCTGAAGATCTTGATAACTTCTGTATTTCTGTCTTGCCCAACAAGATGAAATGAAATTTAACAAAACAAAACAAATCAGGGGAAATCATTACCAGCGGCAAAAATCAAGAGTACCAGTATCAGCTACTATGAATCCCCGATTCTTCGAGCGCTTCTTCCTCCCTTCCTTCATATTGCAATGTGAATTTAGATCTTAGGGAGACATGGTTTTGACTTCAAAACTACTTCTCAAGTTCACTTCAATTTGTCCTTTCGGTCCACTTGGTCCTCAATTATGAGCACGATAATAAAGGCAACAAAACACAAATTACAAATAGCACAACTTGATATTTCAAATCATGATATTTATTAAAAGCTAATTAATTACCATTGAATGTAAGATGTAAAAGCAAACCAAAGGCTGATGCAAATTATGCTGGTATCATGTTCGTAAAATCCATCCATCCTTGCTTCCTTGCTTCACTAAAACGCCATTTCATACCATGCTATGCAACTCCAAACTCTCATCATCATCATCATCAAATTTTCTTATCCTTTTATGACATCTGAAGTACCTTAGACGATATGCGCGGCATCTCCGTTAAAGTGACCTGTACCTGCACCGACGGGTTTACGTCCAATACCCGATGTACCAGTTCCATTATGGTACTCCTTGTTTCTGATATCTCCACCCTCACTCATACCATGTCCATGTCCATACCCGCGACCATAAGCACCAAATCCACTATCACTGTAGCCTTCGGTGCCCCATCCAGCTTTTCTCGTGAAGGTCGCATCCTCAAGATCCGCTCCAGTACCAGGGAAAGGAGTTGAGCGGTTCAATGGGATGTGGTTAGTTCTCCAGTCCCAGATCGACGCATACACCATTCTGTAAGATGAGAACGCCATAACTGTTCCGATAATAGCTCCTGCGACACAATCATACCAATTGTGGTATTCGTCAATGGTGAGTGCACCTGCGATGAGCGTGGCGCCGAGAACAGGTGCATATGTAACGATAAGTTTCCACATTGCAGGGTGATAGTTTGACCAAACCTTCAGCTTTGCGTTCAAGTACAAGTACAAGAAAATGAAACCGGCAAAAGCAGCAGTGGAGTGACCAGATGGGAAGGATTCGAGAGAGTCATCGATTTCATCTTCGTCGCCTGTACAGATTTTTCGGTCGTACATGATGAAGTTGAGACCATTTCCTGTTTCTTGTGCCGTGGTGACTGGAATATTGGGTTTGCATACGGTGAGGAAATGAGGACGAAGACCACCAATGAGCCATTTGAGGAAAACTTGGAAGACGGCAGCTGTAATGAGGGAGTAGAGGAGACCAATTACGGCATTGTTCATATCCCAGAAAGATCGGACGCGAATTTGAACGATCAAGAAGGCGGCAATGGGGACGAGAGATGCGAGGAGTGCAGCTTCCCAAATTGGAACGATTTCGTTACGGAGAGGCTAGATGAATGTATGTTAGATATTGATTGAATGTATTTATTAGATGAATGTTGGGATAGATGGAGGGTATACTTACGTATGCGAATTGAGGATAAACAATCTCTCCATCTTGGAAATAGACTGGGAAAGATCGAGAAGGAGCAGGATGAGCTTCATAAACACCCAGTCCAACAGCACCCATAGCAGCCATCGTGAGGATATCAAGCCAAGTGACTTTAAGCCATTGACCGAAACTGGGACGCTTGTTCATGGGAAGAACCAATGGTCCTTTACCATGATGTTTGGTCTCATGAGTAGCTACATTTGCTCCAGGTCCGGCAGTAGCAGGTGTCTGCTGTTTGCGTGAGAACATGCCCATTTTATAGATGGTACGTTTGTAAGTAGGCGAGATGAAGCGGAGTAATGAATAACTCAACAACTTGAAGAGCAACGAACACTCTAATTAAGTCGAGAGAGGATGACAAGAATAGAGATGAAAATGAAGATATCACTAAGGAATCCAAGACTCTTAGTAGAAGGAAAGTTCAAACTTTAATACCCTTTTCTTTTTACCTTACCATACCTACCTAGTATGCACATGTGGTGGAACGTGTTTGAGACTTCGTACCTTGATTTTCCTTATTTTTCTTCTCACATCAATAAAGGAATGACCACACCACGAATCCCACCAATATCAACCAGTGACCAATGTTTACCAGTGTTTACCCAAATTTACGTTACTCCTGTGGTTACGCCAGAATAATTCCCTAGCTCCCGCTAGTGGAAATGACATGGAGAAGCGTGAAGATCTAAATCGTTTGATTGGTTCATTGAGCTGCACGGATGATGACGTCAGCTTTCATTAGCCACACCTTCCGCGAGAACAGTCTTCTAGGCGCCCGGGCCTCCACGTAATCAAAAATCAAGGAAATCCATAGTAACCCGTGGGCCTTGGAACATTTCGACCTGCTCGAGCCACTTTCGCATAAAAATGAAATGCCATATTACATACGCCAAGATCGTCTGAGGAGATTCTAATTTGCGTGTTTCTGATTTTCATCACATTTCTAGATTTCGCCCGGTCGACTGTTTGCCCTGTTCCTCCAATTTGCGTACGACAACAAGTTGATCAGTCTCTTGTTTTAACCCCTGGTCTAATATTCTTAACTTCTTGGCGGCGACGGGAGCTTGTTTGTGTTGGCAAAAGCTTGTTGTGTTTGCTAAAGCTTGTGGTAAAGGTGCGTTTGCTCCGGTCCTATCTAATTCTTATTTGCACGTCTTGTTTGAACTTGACATGTCAGGCGTAATTCCTGTGGCTAGGATCCACGTCACTGATGAAATTGTTCTGATCGAGATCTTTCGAAATTCATTCCACATCTTTCGTTTGAGTGTTGCCTTTTGGACAATTGAATTGTTCACCAACTTTTCTCAATTTCTTAATGAATAAAATCTCTCTATTGATATTTAGCGCTCCAAAAAACTGCTTTCATTTGATATCTTACTACTCTAAAATCTGCAACATCGCGAGAGAACATGCATCAATACGTCGCTACCACGCGCTCAATAAAAATATGCTTCGCTTTATGCTAATCCCGCGACATCCCAAACCTTCAAAGAAGCATCTCCACCCACAGAAGCGACTTTCTTTCCACCATCAACCCAACGAACACCGGTAACACCATCCTTATGCGCATTGGGGGCTTTGACTCTCTTTCCTGGTGAGGCAAGACTCCAAACGAAAACATTAGTATCGAGACTGCCACTCACGGCATGGGTTCCAGCTTGGTTCCAATCTGCGAAGAAGTATTAGTTGTGCAACATGAGAAAATGGGACAGAGCTTTGGGTATAAGATGTAAAACATCCTGTCAAAGAGAAAGAAAGAAAGAAACCTACCAATGCTGGTTATTCTTGCCGTGTGGCCACCCCATCTATCCGTCTTGATCTCCCAATTGGATGTATCATAAACATGAATTTTGCCTGACGAATTTCCTGCCGCAAGAAGATCTCCACTAGGTGAAAATTCTAATGCGGAGATTACAGCTAGAGATTTTGTAAGTTCTGTTTTGGGAGATAAATTGTTTCCATCAACGCTGTATACATGTACAACATTGCGATCATCTCCTACCGCTACAACGTTTCCGTTTGCTGTAATAGATGTTGGTGTGAAGTCCTTGGTTGCCACGGTATTTACGAGGCTACCTCCAGAGAAGATATCGATGCCGTTTGTAGTAGCAACATACAATTTGTCGTTCACAGCTGCTACTCCTTTAGGTTGACCATTCAACTTAGCTGCCTCGCCAACGAAAGTATTTTGAGGAACGTCAATAGTTCGTAAAGTATCATCCCAGGCAACACTATAGGATTTATCTCCAGCGCTGGCCCAACTAGATACTTGATTGGTATGCGAAGAACCTTCGGTAGCAGAGCCAACACCAGTGCCGACATCCCAGGAGACGACTCGACCATCGAAACTACCTGTCCACAATGTTTGACCTTTCTCCGTGTGTGCTGAGCCAATGGCCGTAATAGCTTTGCCATGTCCTTGGACAATCTTTGTTGGTTTATCCGTTCCTTCAGCCAAGTAATTTAGATCTCCAGCCAAGTTCAAACTGATGATCATTCCATCGCTGCGTGAAGGCCATACAACACCAACCTGGTGATCTGGAATGCTTACATTTCCTTCTCCACCAAATCTCCAAGTTTGAACAGCCTTACCAGCTTCGACATCCCATAATTTGACCGTCTGGTCAGCGCTGGCTGTAACCAATCTTTTCGAGTCTTTTGCCCACGAGACACTGAATATACTTCCTGTATGCTCTCCCTCTCCAAAGCTTGCCTTGGTATCACCAGTCTTTCCATCATATAATTGGATTTTGCGATCTGCTCCGACACTTACGAGGTGGTTTCCGTCCGGCGAAAATCCTACTCCGTAAATGTAACCTTTATGAAGCTCTCCCAACTTTGCATTGAATTTGAAAGGAGCTCCATGGAGAAACACCATGCTCATATCATCAGATCCAGTAGCTGCTCTGAGTGGTCTTTGCTGACGAATTGCAACTGAATTGATGACTGAAGTATGACCAACAATTTCTCCCACGGTATTTCCACTATCTGCAGTTATGCAAGCTCCAAATCGTTCTCGGCCATCTCCCACTGCAATGATACGTTGAGAATCTCCATCCCAAGCAATATCATTAATTCTGCCATTTATAATATGATAATCTCCCTTGACGTTGACTCCCTCTATCGAATCCCAGACCTTGACGCTTCCAGAGACATCACCACTGGCAATATAGTAACCGGAGGGAGAGAATCGAGCAACGGTGGTTTGAGTTGTGTGATTTGTGAATTGTTTACTTAATGAAGGATCATCAATATTACGAACGAAAACTGATTTACCAGACTAGAAGAAAGAGTCAGCACAGGCATATGAGTAGTTCGAGATATACACGTACGGCATAAGCAATACGCTCCCCCTTTGGATCACAACTTAGCTGTGTCGGACGGCCACGTTGAGTGTCTGGGGAAGCAGCAAGGATCTTGTCAATAGTGATAGACATCTTTCGTTAGCTCGACGTCAATATCAAAAGGATTGGTAAGTTTCTGGAATTGACAATAGTCTTTGTAAAATCAAGATATTCTACAAGGGAGGTTATGGTTTATTTAATGGTTTCAAGAGCCTTGAGGACCACGATGAAGTAAGGCTGAGGGGCAGACATTAGTGGGGTTGGCCTTGCCGTTTTAGCTACCGTAGATCTCAGCCACAGTTAAATCTAGCAGGCTCCAGCCTTATGCACTCGTCTGGGTTTCACTAATGAATGTCATCAATAACGTCAAATGTTAGGCAACAGAGAAATGGATCTCTATAAAACGATGATACTATTCAGTTCCTCATCCCAAGTGAATATTCATCACTTCTGGCTGAGCTTATCAAGGAATATACATTTCAATCATCTCATGCCAATTCCAATCTCCTGATCTACTTTAATTTAAAAAGAACTTGCCCAACTCAAGATATAAGAACAGCAATTTAGATCTACTCAGAAAGATATCAAACAAGATGTTTGTGACATACGATCCGGACGGAGATCTGGTCCTGCTTCTCACACGAGTGGTAGAGCTGGGAGAAACAAACGAAGGAGAGAACCTGGGAGATTCAGCAAAGACAAAAGCAGAATCACGAGACTACTCGGAGGAGAACGATTCAACCGATGAACCAAGCGCTAACAGCGAAGATGTACATATGTTAGTCTCGTCCAAACACATGTGTCTTGCTTCTCCTGTATTCAAAGCCATGCTTCAACACAGCAACTTCAAAGAAGGCCGAGAACTAGCTTCTGCTGGCAAGATTGAGATTTCCTTGCCTGACGATGACCCTGATGCTTTTGCAGTCTTGATGTGCATTATCCATGGCCGGACAAGGAATGTTCCTCGTGAAATTGATTTGGATCTCTTATCGAGAATTTCTACCCTGGTTGATAAGTATCAATTACATGAGGTAGTTGAAATTATGTCTGATAGATGGATATCATTGCTTGAAGCCGAGTTACCAGAGGAATTCACCGATGATTTACTTCCATGGCTTAGTATCTCTTGGGTATTTGAAAAGCCAAGTATCTTCAAAGAAGTTACTCGAATTGCAGAACGACAAAGTAATGGTAAGATTGGTGAAGACAGAGATGATATTCCAATACCAAATCGGGTTCTTGGTAAGATAGATTTTGCCCTTTCCCCTGAAGTTCTGACCGCATGATATAACTAACACTATTGAAGATACAATTCAAGAACGAAGATTGACTGCAATAGCCGACGCCTATTCCACGGTCGAAACAATACTCACCACCGGTAAACATCATTGCACCGCGCCCCGTAAAGATTCCTTCGAATGTAGTGGCATGGTCCTTGGAACGCTCCTCCAGAGCTCCACAAAACTAGGCATATTTCCCGTGCCAGATCTCACTGACACCGAGCTCACATTTAACTATGTCGTCAACCAAATCCGCAAAGTGGAAGTGGTTGCTCTGTGCGATAAAATATCTCCATTCAAAGGTTTTGAGTATCATCACTGGTCTACTCATGGTGTCAAACAGGCTATCGATACTGCACTGGCGAATCTTGAGAAGAGGTTATCTGGATTAGATATGGAGGATTTTAAGAAGGGGAAGAGAGTGCAGCCAGAGCTTAAGCTATCAGCAAGAGTGAAAGCGAACAATTTAGACATGACACAGTTGTCGCTTACGCCTTCTTGATATCACGAGTCTTATAATGTTTCTGGAGAGAGCTTCTGATGACGAGAAGATTTTGCCTGAAACATAATCTTCACCTTTAATTTACTCATCTTCCCCGCTTGCGCGTTTCAATAATATGCCTTTCAAAATACATCAAGTGAATCTAACGGACTAGACTAACCCTAAATAGTCAGGAGGGGTAGGCTATAAAAGTTATCGTACCTCTCTTGACTTCCAAATCGACCCTCCTTTGACGTCTCTTTTACAACCTCAAAATACTCATGTTAAATCTACGACAAATCAACCCGATTGCTTCGTTTTTCACAGCTCTTTCTTGACTCCATAAAGAAACTGGGGGCATACCCTATTCAGATCACTATCAACCAGGATCACGTATCAAGCACATCAAAATGGCATCAGACACCCCAGAAACTCCAGAGAAGCTCATTTTCGACGCTGCTGGTGAAGTGCTTTTGATTTTTACTCATCTTCCAGTCGACAGAGACGGAGTTGAAGCTGATAACGACTCGTTCAACTCACATAAACGAAAAGCGTATGTTTTTTCCAACACTTTGCCTTGATCAAAGCTGAACAAAACACAGACATTGCGATAAGTCATACACAGTAACTATGCTTGTTTCCTCGAAGCATTTGAAACTTGCATCGCCAGTTTTCGGAGCCATGTTGAACCATGATCGTTTCAAGGAAGGAATTGAATTACAGGCCAATGGAGAAGTCAAGATTTCGCTACCTGATGACGATCCAATTGCTTTTGCAATTATCGCTAATGTCATCCATCACCGGAACAAACTTGTACCCGAACATGTCGCTCCGATGCTATTGGCCACAATAACACTTCTTACGGACAAGTACCAGATGCATGAAGCGATGTCGTTAGTTACAAAGTGCTGGACAACTCTGCTAGGCGAGGAGAGGGATGCACAATATACGAGTATTAATACTGGTGGTCTGGTCTATCTTGCATATTTCCAGTACAAGCCTCTTGAATTCAAAAAGCATACAAGACGCGCAATTGTCTGCAACGATGAAAATTTTGCAGATTGGGTGAACGAACATGGTTGTTGGCCTTACACTATTGTCGGTATGTGAAGTGAATAAAATGCTGATGATGTGCTCCTTACTGATTGGAACTCAGAGAAAATTAAAGAAGCCCGGCTGAAAGCATTTGGAGGCCTATTTTCTATCCTCGGCGATCTAGTTAGATCGCAGATTACAAATGAGACTTACGATGAATATGACTTCTGCGATCAAGTCACCATCGGCTCTCTCATGCAAGTCGCTTTAGAAAATCGCTTATATCCATTCCCCAAAGCACCTTATCAGGGCTTCGACTTGAAAGCAATGTTCAAGAAGATATCGAATGCAAGAATCGATACACGTTGTACTTATGAGGTTACCTTAGGTACATGTGGGAATTCGGAGATGATTTCCAGGATTGCAGCAGATTGAAATGGTGCAGTTCGAATCCAAAATTGAAGGCTTAGATCTCGAATCTTTCCGGTCCTCGCCTGAGTAAAAGGGAAGGGAAGAGAAGTATCATCAAAGAGCTCTCCTTCACCGAGTTTTAATCAGGATAATCAATCTGCTTGATTGAGTGATTTGAATTTGGCATCGAATATCAGTTTACACTATAGGATTTACGGCGCCAGGTTACTGCATCCACATGTTGCATTGCATGGAGAGTGTGAAGGATGAACCCGTAGTCCACGATTGCTCATCAGCTTTACAAATGCGGACTTAAGAATCATCGCTTCTACCTCACGAATTTTCAAATTTCTACCATAAACGACGTTGCTGGGTACTATCATTACAGGTCTCTTTGGGGAAACATTTCAAGCATAACACATTTCTATGAAAGTTTTCTCTATACTCTTCATTCCATACGCCAGGTCAAAAAACGCAGCATATCTCTAAACACAGAAAGAGTAATCTGAAGCACATTCGTCTCATGAGAACTTGTTCCGAAACACTTTCCATATCCTTACATACTTTCTTTCTATGCACCTGACTATTTCGTTCTGGTAGCTTCGCAATGCTTTACTCAATTGTTACTAAGTATGCGATAGTAATACAATATCTGAATTTCAATTTTTTCTCCTCCTGCGTCTTGAGGTCCTGAAGCTTTATAATATCGTCATGCCTGCCCATCTTTCATTGTTTTAACCTATTCATATTAATTTGGCTCCTCATTGGTATTCTGAGATGCATGCACGTGTACCTTCATCAATATTCTAATATCCAGTCCAGTAGTAGACGCCTATAACACGACCTAACTCACACACAGATCTCAGTCACCATGAAGCTAAATTTCAGGCTATTGCATTTTGATTTCCAACTCTTACTCTACAGCCTAGTAAAACCTCCCTCGGGAGGTTGCAACCAATTCCTCTCATCATACACATTCTCCCCCTCAATAACATGAAACGTATAAATAATTCTCCCCTTTTCGCTCGTATTCCTCTCGCTCTTATGCAACAAATTCCCATGAATGAGTACCAAATCCCCCGCTTTAACTTCACCCATTACATAACTGCCTTCCTTTTCCTCCCCCTCTCTCTCCCTCTTCTCTAAACCTCTCGGGAAAATCTCCCCCTCATTCTCCACAAACTCCGTCCCCCCACCATCTTTCCTCCTAACAAATCTCTTCCCCACCCCCTCCCACTTATGACTCCCAGGCCAAAAACTCAAACATCCATTTTCCCTCGTTGCATCTTCGAGCGCGTACCAAAACCCCACTGCGCTGGGTGGATCGGTATATAAAAATGTGGAATCTTGATGGGGGGGGACGGCACCGCCTATTTCGGGGTTCTTGCAGATTATCATTGATTGCAAACATTTGGGTTCTTTGAAACCGAGAGATTGCGCGATGAGAGAGGGAGAGTGAGTGGCATTTGGAGAGAGAAGCGCGGCAAAAGGGGGCGAGAGCGAATGGAGGGCGTGCCCGATTTTGTTTATGGAGAGGTGTTTGGGTTTGAGGAGTTCGCCTTTTGGAGATAGTGCGTCTAGTTTTTAGGTGTTAGTAATTGGTAGTGAAGATTCAATTTAATCCAACAAGGTTGTATGAATCAAAAGAATCATGTGAAGTGAATAATATAATTCATGATCCAAAGCACGAGAAAACATACCTTCCTCAAAGAAAAATCGTATCTTATCACCGCTCTCCAGAAAATAACTATCCCCAACATGTTCAACGTCATCTCCTTCCCCAGTACTAAATTTCGTCATGGGATGATCATCCAGCGAGAAATTGTTCAACATAGAATGGGTTTCGGATAGTAAGGAGGAAACTGTTTCTTGGGAGAGAGCTCGTGGGATGATCAAATACCCATCTTTGTTAAAGGTGTCGAGCTGCTCCTTGGTGAGGCCTCTGAGAGCAGCAGGAGACGGCGATGTACGAGAGGGAGACATTTTTGCTTTGAAAAGAGGGAATTGCTATTATTGAGAGAGTTGAAGGTTTAATAGTAAAGCAAGATGTGGAGTTTAAGGAAATGGATTCTCTTATCGAATGACCCCTCACTCGATAAGCATACCTACCTGGCCTGGTACATGGGCCGAAGTGTGTCGGAATTGCCCGAACGGCTCGTTTGCTAGAGCATACTTTCAAATTGTCAGTTTGATCCAGGAAACAATTGGTGAAAGCAGCAATCTGGTGTGGTGTTTGCTTCATGTGAGATCCACGGCACACGGCACTGGTAGCTGATGATATGACGAGATCTTGTGTAAGGGAAAAGAGAAAAACACGCGGGATGTATCAACAAAGATCCAAAATCTTCATGTTTACAGTAATTGGTCGCAATACATTACGACTCGCTCGCATAGGAAAATTAGGGGAAAATCACAAAATATCATCATGTTCCAACATCATATACCATTTCTTTTGTGACGACAACAAACACGTTGGTAATGCAAATCCGATATCTAGAGTGATGTTGGCTTGGATAGTGAGTGGGTGGTAAAACAAGATCATGAGTAATTTTTCTTCCTCGCCCTCTGAAAGAAGAAAAAAAAAGAAGCTGTGGTGCACAAGATTTCAAAAAGAAACAACTGGTCGCTGAGGGGTTCGAACCCTCGCATCTCTCGATAATGGTGTTTTCAACCTCATAGAAGGTGTCTTAAAACCATCGCCTTAGACCACTCGGCCAAACGACCTCACTGCTGTGATAAGTTTCGATGCAATTAACTAATTAAACTAACGTTAACAGCCATGATAAATATTTCCCCGCTTAATCTCGTTTCAAAAAATAATTTATCTTATTAGTGACAATAGCTATCCCACTGAGATATTTCCCCTCCAAGAATCTGCTTTTCATTCATCTATTCTTTCACAGATTCTCAACTTTTCCGAACGCTCGAGCGAAAATGTTTTGATGCGGGGCAAAAGATGGACTAGTGCTGAAGCACCCCGTTGATATTCCAATTATTATTACCATCCCAATCTTAAGGTCGAGGATTTTAATTTCCTGATCTATCAGATGCAAAGATCTTCGATATCTAAATTGTTCCTGCGAATACTATTTCTTCAAAACTACATCGTGGTAACTCTCAACTAACACTCTTAACTCTAATATGCATTATTCAAACTATCGAAATGAATAAACACATATATTTATAACTATCTAGTATTTCAAGAAGATTTATGTACACATATACTCAAATTACATAGATGATATAGTTATCACTTGAAAATCACATCCGTTCTCTCGGAACCAATTTGATTCCCTCGATTGGCATAGTAGCAATTACCGAACTGGAAAGACATTCTTTCGAAGGCTCGAAGATCCATTAGGACAAGCCTCGGGAAAACTGGCCCTCAGCTAGTTCTCTTACCTGGGGTTGTGAAAGAAGATTGCTTCATTTAAGCTATCATCTAGAGTCTCAAAGCACACTTGCTTGATCTGCTCGTATGTTTCCACGTACACTCTACTTCGAGTCCGGTATGCTTCCTCATGAATGGCATCATTCCCTTTCTCATTGCTGACGTCATTGTCTTCAAATTTTGATTCTCCTTTCGAGAGCCAAAGCTGTTTATGAAGTGGTGCATCATTTTTCGTGCATTCTTTGAAAGATCCGAATTTTGGGTTTGCTTTATTTCTTCGATTATTGGCGGAATTTCGCACTCCGCAGTTGAAGCTAGCATATTCTCGAAGTCGAAGTAGCTCAAGACAAAAAGGAAGTCCTTTGGGTGGAAACTTAGAAAGAGAATGCCTAGAAAATCACTAGTCAGTAATATTTTAAATGTCACCCATGTTGCTGATTGGGTTGATTTCGGATGAGGCTTGATATTGTCGCGATGCTATGTTCGAGATAAAATATTGACTGCTCAGTGAGTCGACTTTAGAGAGAGAAATACTTGGCTGTTAAGTATATATTTTTAAAGTGCCCAAGAAAAGGTCTCTCTCCAATGAAGGTCATTTTGGGATTGGAATATGAATTCCCTCTGGGTGAAAAAATGAGGTAGATATACACTGCGACCACTATTCACTTAAGCTGCGGTGTTGACCGGATCACAGTCAGTGTAGGCAATAGTATTTCCCGTATTTCGTATACGGGTTAGTTTAGTGGTGCGTATCGAATTTTTTCGAAATACGTACGTATGTGGTATAGAATTCAATACCACTGAAAGTATTCAATATCATTTAGTTATTCAATACTATCAGCAATATACTGAAATACTGGAATCCAATATAAATAATACATTCCTATCCAAATTAGGCTAGAAATAAGGGATTCCCATTCAATTTGAAATCAGGAATGGAATTTTATTACCTAATTAGGATAGGAATGTATATTTTATATTGGATTCCAGTATTTCAGTATATTGCTAGTATTCTTTAGGCATATGAATATGTACGAGAGTGGTATAACCTCCTTTCTATACGTACTAGCTGCAATATCAATATGCTAATACGCGCCATAGTTTCACTGTAGTATACTATTGCCTACACTGATCACAGTCTCTGTTGCCCCTTTTACCTCCCACTTGTATTTCTGGGCATATTTTCGTACAACCTTCTCATTTGCTAAGCCCAAGCCCTCCTGGGTTTCAATTTTCTTAGTTCATCGAGTGCATCATATCCACGACTTTTGATCACCATGGCACTAATCAGAATGTTTGCCATATGACATTCGTTGTTTCTATAACTCGTAATAGTGGCGATATACGCGGTTGCGGTTCTATCTGCCGCTAAACCAAAATGACCTTTCGATGTCTGATTTCCTCAAAGAACTTGATTTTGGTGGGAGGTCATACCTATATACATATTGGACTGGTCTTTCTAAAAATGGTTTAATATGATATTCTGTAAATGAATGACTGAGTTGTCTACTTCTCAACTAAAGCTGTCCACAATTTTGATTTGAAAGATGGATGTTACTCCAATCTAGTCCCTCGTCTCAAGTTTACCCCCAGAGATTCTTGCAAAGATCTCAGCTATCGCTGCTCCCCTCGATGTCACCTCAAACTTGGTCAATCCAGCCAGTAGAGGGTGGGTATTTCCCATTGTCAGTTCTATATTGGCTGGCTTAATGATAATATGTTACGCCATTCGACTTCATACAAGATTGGCGATTCAGCGAAAAGTAACATGTGTGATTGTTAGCTGCTCGTTTTCATTCCAAAGATTCATTCAAACTGACTACATATCAGTCACGTCACTCACAGGTTTCGTATGAATCATTCCTTTGATCATTTGGATCTAGTATTGATTTTCCAGCCGCTTAGCGCTTTGGTGGTCTATATCGATGTTCTGATATGTATGTATGCCTATAACTACTACGCATGTATCAAGCACAACCGACCTTCCAAAAGCTGTTACTAGAGATGGTATTGTCGGTATTCATTCGTGGGATATCTCCTTATTGCGTCTATTCAGTCAGCGAAATTTGATTGTATGTATTCTTCTCCCCTTGCTTATAACCCTTGATGCTTTAACTTCAGTTCTCACATTAACTGGGCTCTTTACGTAGGTACTTGGATGGTCTATTGTGCTCTAGGTTTCGCAAAGCTCCCTCCCTCTCTCTTCCTTGCGTACCTTGAAATGTTTGTAGGATGTAAATGGATGAAAATCTGCGTATATATTGGTACCAAGATTTCTTCCTTATTTTGTCTCGCTACTACGGTCGTCCAATTTTATCTAGCAACGCCCTTCAATGGCGAAACATGGAACTCACATATAGTCTCAACCCGCACTCTCAAAGGGATTACTTTCTCCGCCCCAACGGCCGCTGTCGGGTTGGCGATCGATGTTTATCTTTTCATCTTGCCGTTTATTGCTATTATTCGATTGCATCTACCAATGCGGAAGCGAATACCTGCTAGGTTGTAATGACATGTCCACGCAACCGGCTGGCGAAGATACTTTTCCCATCGCTCCTCATGAGCTACGCCACTAAGCTTGAAACTGATGTTCGAATGAGCAAAGAGGAGAGAAAAGTTGAGGCAGGATAGTTGACATTCATGAAAGGGGATGGATAGCTGAATGAATAATAAGCCTGTTTTAAATGAACAAGAAGAAATTATACACAAGAAAATAAGAAAAAAGACTACATATTCATCTACAATATGGTTTCAAGAAATGATTCTGTAAGAGCACATTATGCCTACTAGAATGTGAGGTTTTGGTGTTGGAATGAAAAGCTCTTAGCATCTTCAATCTAGATATTTGGGAGCCTAGAAGTATCGCGATTCATAATATCTGTAGATGATAATAGAAATAGATAAGATGTTTTGTAATAACAAGTAAGTAATCATGTTTACTGCCTATCATGACCGTTGCCCACCCCCACTTTGAAGTGTCTGTTCTTCCCCTGATACCAACACGAATAAAGCTGTTTCCTCAACGAAAAATCCTTCTCAATATCAAAGATTTCTGAGATTTGTTCTCATACAACCAGAATCCCTCGATATGGCACTGACAGGAAATTGAGATGATAAAAATCAAAGGCGTCGGCTTCTCTCTCTACTATTGGATACCCCCAAACCTACTTTCTCTTGACAAAGACATACCATCATTCGACGAGACAGCCAGAAAAAGTTGAACAGACCGGACCGGATGAAGCAAAGAAACCATAGCTGTGAAAGAAAGCAGCGATTTGCAGAAGTACAGAGGTCGAAATGAGCCGTGTTGCGAAATGTGATGTAATGAAAGAGCAGGCAATCCTTTTCGCAAGATACGTAAAGACTAGGGGAGCACGAAGAATTTCATGAGGATGAGATTACTGCAACAAGGATGCTGATGTGATATAAGGACAGAAACACAGTCTAATACTTTAACTTGATGCGGGTGGAACGGTAAATCGTGATGTCGCGCTCTTTTGCAATGACTTGTTGTTGTGCAAGAGACCTCATATGTCTATGGCTCATTCTCAGTGGAGTTGAATAGAGAATCAGCAATAAAATACTTCCTGCTAGAGACTAACTCAGTCACCTGCTCTTCTCTAATAATCGCTATCGTTATCAATGTCATATTCACCGATGCTATAATCAGAACCATCACCATCATGAGGAGGATCAAGCCATTCATACACATCGTTGGCATCGTCATCCGATTGTGGGTTTTCCGTAGTGTTGATAGTCCATCCGTGACTCATCATTTCCCTCCTGATATAATCACCCGGACCCTCCTCATACAAGTTGACAGTAATGTTTTGTAGGGACGGAATGGCTCTGAAGTGAGAATCAACTATAGCCAAAGCCTCCGCAACAATATTGAGATTGTCAAGTTCATCGAGAGTAGTTTGCCAAGCATTGGTGCTTTCTAAATCGGTCTCAAGCGCAATCAAACTGGTACAGTCGTTTTGGATTTTCGATAAGCCCTGAGAGTCGTTGACTTCAAGCTCAATATCAGAGGGTTCAAGATCGGAGAATGCGGGAAAGTTGATAGCAATGCGTCGTATAGAGCTGGCATTGATAGGACCAATCTTATTGAGAAAACCTTGAGCATTCCACAGGTCGAATTCGAAGATATTCTGCGCGTAAAATACTGACGTGGCTTCGCCGTGTATCGTTCTACATGTGAAAAGTAGGCCCTGAGTCAGGTTCCTGGGTAGGAATCGTAGCTGGGAGTCTATCTCGATAGAGGATTCACACACCAAGAGTTCCTCATATATCCTGTTGCGAAGTTCCCTGGGGAGGCTGAGAATGTTGGTCGACATTTCGTTAGCGGTGTGCGTTTGAAGCCTCCTACGCTCACTGCGACACGCAATCAAGATTCGTTTTCTCACAAGCTGTCAATTGCAGACGCGATGTAGGCTCGACTGATACCAGATATTTTGTTGGGAAGTTGATTGCCAGGTCAGAGTTGAGAAGAAAACCACTCCACTACCTTTCCACCGCTTGAGAAAACAAACAAGCAGTCAGCGTTACATCAGCCACAAGCCTCACTTCTTGTACAACCTCATCCTGTACAACCAACCCGATTTCTCTGAATCCATTTGCTTCTCTATTCTAATGACCTTATCCATTCTTGTATCATCACACAACCTTACGGTTACTTATCAAGGCACACATTAGCAAGCACTGAGTAACACTTTCCATGCATTAACCCGTAACCTCGGAATCTCCCATTACCTCCTTTCTCTATCTGCCCCCAGTTATCGTGATCCCAAGCCCGCAAACCAGAAAAAGAAAATTTGTATACCATTCCGTGGCCGTGAAGCTGTCTAACCTACCTACGTGCACATTTCTTAGAGATGATTGGAGAAAGCCGAGGAGCGAATACTTGTGCTGATTTGCAAAAAGGTAAAAGATGCTAATTACTACAAGAGAAGGCCGAGGCTATCAGCCCATCAAGTCAGATGTACCAATGATTGAACTCTAATCTCTTGAAAACCTCTGTATGGTAACATTATATGATGAGCGACGAGAAACTGCATTTGTCAGTGAGCCTCTCAATAAGCTTCGGCGCTATCATGGAATCAATGCATGAGCTAATGCAAGGAACTGAGATATAGTTAAGATGAGAAGCATGCTTTCATTGGCCTAACTCCTAATTTGTAACCATCAATTCACATATTAATCCAACCAAATTCAGTCCATCAGTCGTATACGCATAGATTCATACAGCCGCTCTCAAAATGCTCAAATGCAGAAAATGATCCACCCAAATCAAGAGACCTTGGGAAGTCTTTTTACAGACATTCCATGTTGTTACCAAAAGTATAGATACCGAGAGAATTAAAATTGAAACGTTATAGCCATGTCAATGTATCACGAGTTTGTTGCAGAGTTTCCCGAAGTAGAATTATGCGGAAATTCCTCCGGAGCGCTCACTTGGTATGAGTTCGTAGCCATCTTCAGGGGCGAGGGCAAATGCAGAGATGGCGATACCTGCAGCGGATGCAATCGAGAGACACCAACTAATAGTGCAGAAAATCCATCCTTTGTCCAGCTTCCAGCCTGGGAAGAATTGTTCATCATGATCATATAGATATGCCTACCAATAGTCAGTATCATCTCGCCTCTCGTCCATTAATTTCCAAAACAAGCAAAACATACCACAATACTCATACCAGCTGCCTGAACTATACCCACCAATACCAGCAAGAAAGCTAGTATTTTCCAGCCCGTCTCTCTCTTCTGCTTGCCACCGAATAAGACAACTACATATGCCACCAATGTAACCAACTCTACCACAGCCGCAAAAGACATGAGAAATCCTACGGATCGCCACATTGAACAGAATCCCCTATCTGGCCCTGCACAATCTTCCGATGTAGGGAAATGAGAAGAGTGGCCTGTGAGCGAACTATAGCTGCGATGCAGTCCTATCGATTTCGTTACATGATTACCGTTCGGTGTCGTTACATCCCATGTAATCCAATCAGGTATGAAGATCGATACAAAAGTCAGTGTTGTCGCTATACAATTCAAATGGTCAGCTATTGTACTATAATGATTTGGCAGAAGATGGCGAAATCAACTCAGAGGGTTAGATTCTGGTCAAGATCACTGCCATGCTACTGAATCATGTAAATGACGCAGAGAATAACATACCAGCGATAAACACTGCGAGAGCGACACTGTAAACATAAACCCTCGTCATGGTGCTGTAAATATACCCAAGATTACTTTCGCAAACTTCCTAGATTCCCACCTCTCCTTCGATCCAAATGTTTGTTCCCGTCTCGCCTTCGGGTATTTGATATCGAAGGATCAGTTTTCCTCTTGAAGAGATATAAAGATAAGAGACAATGAAAGTCTCCAGAGAAAAGAAATTGGGAATGAGGGGTTTGAGTCGTTGTAATTGAATCAATATGGGTCTTCGAAGGAAGGTTGCGTAGTAGACCTATATGCATGCAAAGCACAAACCTGTTGGCCTGGCCTGCCTAATCGAGTGATTCGCTGATATCAAATAAAGCTTCCCTCCAAGTTATCTATCGCCCAAACATTCAACAAATGGCGGTGAACGTGTATTTCGGAGAGAGATCCGGTTCCTTCAATTATAATTACCTATATCACGTCTCAAAATTTCAAGTAAATGGATAGATGGTTTCTGTGCATGTGTTTGAAGTGATGGGATTCTTTGACTTTAGGAAAGGTGGGAGGAATTGTCCAAACTTGTCATAATGATTAACTTTGTTAGTTAGACTCTAAAGAGTGGAGTGGAATGTCGAAATGACGTTGGAGATTTAACGAGTTCTGATGGGGGGCTTCGGAAAATTCGACAGATTTTAATCACGAGGACTGATTTAGATATGGCTGCATACAATTGCATACAAGGCACAGTAAGTAGTATCACATTGTTACTAGGTAGGTACTGATAAGAAGCAATGGTGTATGAGAATTGTTATATTATTGGTGATGAAAAAACAATCGGTATTTGATGCCATGTCTTTTATTTGGGTATCTCAATTAACAATATCAAGGTTGATTTGAACATCGGAGAAAATGCAACCACTAAACAGCCACCATGTATTATCTGCTCAGCCATCCCTGATTGGCCATCCGAAAAGAAATCAGGAAACCGACTTGAACGTTTCCATGATCTCCAACTGCGTTATTGAATATGCAATTGATGTTTGTAATTTGTAGGCAAGAAACTTTGAAGCGATTTGTAAGTCTTCAGCCCATATCAGTTCTCAAACCATCCTTCTGCACAACCATCATAATGAGAGGTAACATGTGATCAATACCACTAACTCAATGTTGAATCCCGTCTTCACTCACTGTCCTCACTTTCGCTGCTGCTCGACCCGTCTTCACTGGATGAATCCTCATCATCACTTCCCGAACTAGATGAGCTGCTTGATGAACTGGAAGATGTATTATCTTTGTTGTTACCGTCCACCATTGACTCATCATCGGAGCTGCTATCATCAGAATCACTGCTTGAATCTGAGTCGGAAGAGCTTGAATCATCAGCTGCAAGTGTCCGTTGCTTTCTTTTCCTTCCGATCTTCTGCGGGGTACCGTCATTCAATCGCAACCTCTTTTCTCCGTCCGTTGCTACAGATTCTGTTTCCGTGGCTTGCGTATCCATCGTCTCTTCAGAAGACGAAGAGCCCAATTCAGCAAGAATTTGTTCGGCTCTCATTCTTTTGGCCATTCTGGGAGCCATTGCTGCGTCCGACAGTCCCATAATTACACCCTCTTCATACCCCATTCGCGACGATGCCCCAGCAGCAGTCATTGATGCAACATATTCATTGATGGCAAGATCGTACTCTCGTTGTCTTTTGCTACTGTCCGCCATTGTTGCTGGAAATCCAGAAGCGTCAGACTCTCGATCTTTCACCTTAATAGCTAATGCTTCGTCTCGAAGTCTTTTTCTGACCCCTCCCTGCAAACCTCTGACGTACTCGTAGAGAAGATGGACGTGATCGGAAGGAACGACCTCAACGTTGAAAGCGTGCTTCAATAGGTGATTTTGGTGATTTTTGTTGAACTTCCACGTCTCCTTCGATTCGTGATACTGTCTTAGATACGCTAAGAATGGGCGTGGAGCGGCGGTTGGTTTGGAGACTTTCGACTTCTTCACAGACTTCTGGGGCTTCGAATCCTTCTCAGTGGTACCATTTTCGGGTTTGGCTTCCGATTTTGTCTTCTTGACTCTTTTCACCCTTCGTTCCTTTTCTGGGAGTGTAGTATCAGATTGTTCCTCGACTATAGGTGGTGCGGGTGTTTCAAAAGCTTGACTCGTAGAAGGACCGTAGAAAAAGTCGTCTTGTGCTTTTTGATCGGCCACCCAACCTAAGTATAACTGTTTTATACTATCGCCATCTTGAGATTTTGTTTCCGGGGTGAATGTTACTGATTTTTTTAGCACGGATTTTCGGGGTGTAGTAATAATTGAATCGGGAACGACCGATCGTTGTGGTTCAGAAGCAGGAGGATGAGAGTCGAGATTCTTCAGCTTTTTCGCAGACGTTTCGTGCTCGGACTCGATGTCTTCTCTTGGTCTTTTCTTATTTGCTATCTCGATTTCTTTAAGAGGTTCGGTAATTGAGGCTTGAATATTTGAATCAGAGGAATTTGGGGCCGATTTCAACTTTAAGCCTAATCGTTTCCATGAGGGGATTCGTGGCGCCCCTCCACTCGCGGAAGGTGAAGGTATCATGGCAAAGAACTTAAGAAATCTAAGAATCTACCAGCCTATAGACACATGAACTTAAAACTATGCTTCGTAAGGCAAGCCTTGATATTTGACAAAAAGTACAAAAAATTGACGCTCAGATTGATGTTGATGTGAAGGACCGCGAAGTAACTTTTTTTCTCTTGATAAGAATGCCCGCCGCTTTAATACCCGGCGCTAAACTATTTTGAACGATAGTCCAGGCTTCAAGCTTCCGCGTGTAAAGGTTGGATACCAGTAGCTACTGTACATGACAACTTTGAAGCATCATAATTTCTTCCACGTCTTTATTTCTCACCTAAACAACCACGATACCTTTTGATTCTAATTTACAAGTAATTACTGTCTCGAAATACCCATCCTTCACATTCAGATACCAAGTCAACTTCTTCAAAATGTCGGGTATGTTTGTTCTCGCGCGCCCGCCTCTTGACAAGCTCCTCAAGAAGCTCGAGAAGCTTGAACTAACAATCCACAATAGGTAGCGCAGGTTACGACAGACATATCACGATCTTTTCTGATCAAGGAAGATTATACCAAGTCGGTACGCAGATCCAGACGCAAATAGAACCGTTAAAGCCATGGGATTCGTAGGATCTCAGCTTTATTGATCTATCACGACCCCAATCCAACACAACGGCATGTAATAACATTATACTAACTGCTCTTGCGAGAATAGAGTATGCCTTTAAAGCTATCACCGCTGCGAACATTATGTCTGTAGGCATTCGAGGAAAGGATTGTGCCGTTGTTCTGTCTCAAAAGAAGGTTCCCGTACGACACACTGATCCAGATTCTATTTCAAGTTCAATACTAATACAATGGTGCTCCACATAGGATAAGCTCATTGATCCATCATCCGTCTCCCACATCTTTCAATTGTCACCATCCGTAGGATGCGTCATGACAGGTTCTATCGCAGATGCCAGAGCCTCTGTTCAAAGAGCTATTGGCGAGGCTGCCGAATTCAGATACAAGTTTGGATACGAGATGCCGTGTGATGCCCTGGCAAAGAGGATCGCCAATATTAGCCAAGTCTATACCCAAAGAGTAAGCTTACTTAATGAAACCTTTGTCGAAATTTTGGATGATACTGTATCTCTGTTCATCTTGCTAACTTGATATTGTTTTTTAGGCATACATGAGACCGTATGGTGTTGCAACCACGTTAATATCGTTGGATTCTGAATTTGGTCCTCAACTGTACAAATGTGACCCAGCTGGCTACTACACTGGTTACAAAGGAACAGCTTCGGGTCCAAAACAACAGGAGGCGTTCAACCACCTGGAGAAAAAGCTCAAGAACAAGGATTGTGCAGAAGGTAGCTGGGAAGATGTAGTAGAATTAGGCATCACAACTTTGAGCACAGTTCTCAGCGTCGATTTCAAGAAGGGAGAATTGGAGATTGGTATTGTTGGGGGGCCAAGAAAGGATGGAAAGGAGGGTACAGATCCGGGCTTCAGGGCTTTGACTGAAGAGGAGATCGATGAGAGGTTACAGGCAATTGCAGAAAAAGATTAGTTGCCGATCATGAGTAAAGCGTTGAGGCAAGATATCCAGATGAGGCAACCATGAAATACGTTCGGTAAACCCGGCGAATGACTGATCAAGAAATACTATTGCTATGAAATTCAATTTATGATACCAATCTGCATTTGATACTGAGCAATGGTAGGCGAGAAAGCCACATATCTTTTGTCATCTCGTTAATTTTGGTGTAACATGTGTACCTAGGTACACGGAAGAAAAAAAGAAACGAAACGGAAACATAGCCATATTGTGGCTTGACCACTGCTGGACTGAATAATAGACGACCCATACCTTCGGTGACAGTGTCATGATAGTCTCGGATGATCTGACTAGATCCAGGAGAACATCACTTTACTGCAGCATCAATGATCTAGCATTACGCAGCCCTATCCGGAAATATAGTTTTGGGATTGATCGAATCATCAATCATCTCGCATCGCAAACAAATGCAAGACAGGGAAGAGGAAATATTGAGTATTGAGGATCCCAAAAGAGTAGTGGGGTGGAGTCCCCAAATGGGTCTATTGGAGTTTCCAAGTTACGGATATGGAATATTGAGATGCGGTGATAGGAGTATCTCCCTAGGAAATCACATCTTGGTACTGGGTCAAGATCGTATGGCCCCCAGATGATCTGCTGTAGTCTGTGTTCAGGAGCTGGGAGATTCTCCTGGGTATGCGTATAGAATAGTATGGTGTGGTATGTAATAATACATATGCGTCGATATGGTTGGTACCTGGCGCAGTCACCGCTTGTCCAATGCGAGTGAGATGCTTTCTACAACTTCAGCTATAACGATATTATGATCTGGATCCAAGGACTCCCATTGGCTGAAAGATTCGATGGCAATACACATTTGAGCCTTGAACTAACATGGTTTTTTCTCTGATGGCTTTTTTGTAAGATTATTAGTGGATTAGATGATTTGACGGGTCAAAACCTAGTGAAGGCTGAACATTTATCCTTGTTCCCACGCGAGCGAACAGGTACCGAGGTGTAGCATCAGTCTTTTTAGCTCGTTTTTTACTTTGATTCCTTTACCAAGAAAACCCAAAAGGAATCCCAAATCATTGTCCACATACAACGCATACGGAAGTCACATAGATAGATTTGATTGCACATCACACAGGGGACCCATATCAATTACCCACAATCTACCTCTCATCTAATCCTCCCATCATCCTCCACCACTCGTTCCCACGTTTCAATCCCTACGCTCTTCCTCTAAGAATCTAAGATACACCCATTACACAATACTATTCCAAAACCTATCTCAAACCATCTAATCTGAACCCTTGGACATATCGCAAATCGCTGCCGTCATGCATATCCTGAGAAATACCACAATAGCTTAGTACCCTTGCACCCTTACATCCTTACAGCTCTGTAGGGTTTAAACTAGCTTTGAGCTCGTCACTCCCGTATCATTAGCATCGGACTTAGTTGTGGAGCACAAATGGCTTTCTATACAGTGAGAGTAACTCAATGGTGTCTAATATTTCCAATGGAATCAAAGAATTGGCTTTGCCTGGCTGAGGTATCCTCCCGTTAGCCAGCCACGTTGAGACTCAAAGTGGATGATCAATTTTCAGAGTCAACGTCTTATCTAGTCAAGTATGATTTGAAAAGCTTCATAAACAGCCGAGATGGCTTCATCTTTCCAAGACATCAACGGCACAGTCTTTCATTCAGTTCCTCATTGTCTCCCGTCTCCACTTCATACCAGTTAGCAAGTCATTCTAGTGTCCATTCTCCCGTTATTTGAAGTTGCAGCAGTTTCAAACACTCAAACCTAAATACACAATGGCCGATGGATGTAAGTCATTTATGTTCCTACCACACAAGACCGTTACTTGTGCTCGTCCCTACCGTGCATTCGGGACGGATGAGACTCAATTGACTCCAATAACTTACAAATTCACTAGTGAACGATCAAAGAACTGCTCGGGTAGCAGATCTTCTCTCCGACTTCCGCACTCTTCAATACTACATCGCTGCTGCTCCTACCGACCCGTCAAACATGGATGATTACTACACTGAAGGATATGCCGCTCTTCGCCAATGCTCCTTAGATGGCCAGCATATCCTAAACTGTGCTGCTGAAACTCGAGTCCCACGAGTTCGCGGTGGTGCAGATGAGCAATCTAAAGCGGAATTGCAACAGTATGTCTCTCCCTACCATCAAACGGCACGATTGGGTATTTCATGATTCTCCATACTAACCGCGAGAAGGGTACTCCTGGATGCGTTTTCTCGCCGTCACGAGGCTCAAAAGATCTACCTTCGCCAAGGTGCGGCACAGCGCTGGATCAGTTACAGAGATCAAGTGTTACAGGGCCAGAGACCTCATACCGGGCATACGGATCAATTGAACGCATGCGACGTGCAGCTACGAGCAGTAAGTCAAAGGGGGGTTTTTTTTCTTTCAATTCTCCACTCCGAGCCTCCGAGCCGTTCCCCACTTCCGGTTCTTGTGTGAACGAGCAAGGATGCTGCCAACTTTTGATGATTTGGTATTATTGATTTTTACGCGTGCTGATTTGGGAACTAGGAATTGGTATCAATCACAGATGAGGCCATCTACTCGGATCTAAGGTCGTCCGATTATGGGATGGGGCGCTGGACGCAAGAAGATCCGAGCTTGAGACATGTACAGAGATGGGTTAGGGCTAGACGTTAAGCTGTCAGTGTTCGGAATTGAAACACGTGGACGGGAAGAGGAGATGTGACTGCCGAGGTTGAGTCGGGAGAGGAGGGACGGGGTGAATCGGATGAAAGGAGGGCTGTAATACTATTGTACAGGAAGATGGATTTGGTAATGTTTGATGGCTCTTGTCGAATTGGGATTGTTTGGGTGATTGGATCGGATCGGATTGGCATGGCATGGCTTGGAATTTCCTTACACTTAAAATGGTTGGCGATGGGCATGGAATGGCGCACACATCAGTTTTCCCCCGGCCCTGGCGGTTAGGTCTTCTTTGGCTACTTCCTTACTCATTTTACGGGATTAGACGAGAGGTAGTGCGGGCTTAGAGCATAGAGCTGTGCTAGTGTGTCTAAAGTTAACTTATAAATTTTGAATCAAGAAATTGAGACATGTCGAAAGTTTTATGTGACATTAGTGACATTTGCCTAATCCAACTTGCTAGTATCCAATATAATGGATCCTACTACGCTCTTTACATCAGTTTGTAAGCAAAGAGAATATACCAGCCTCGTACGGCGGCAAAATCAAATATGTATACATCTTCCAGAAACCTCACATGATCGACTCCTTCTTCCATATGACCCTTCCTCGATATCATTTATCGAATATCAGATCCCCCGCTCCCGAGAATGTGATCCAAAAATAACCTCCCAAGGAAGGCTCATCCCGTCTTACTATGGACACAGAGCGCAATGCCACATAACGACAAGATCATACCAATCCAGGTATCTGTCAATACATTAGTTCGCGTACTCGGGGTCCAAGCCACATTTATTGACTCCTTACTCCGATCAACAGTATTGATGGGGAAGGGATGTAAGGGAAAGGGACGAGGGGAATTACCGCGACTGATTACTTTTCTTTCCACCCACCACTCTCCTAATACTGTGAAGAGAAACGCTAGAGAATTTGTGATGGGGACTGTTAGGGAGAGTTCTACATATATCGTTAGCATTATCTACGTCATCACTGTAGGTACTCAGATCACGCTTCTCCCCATCCATCTTCTTTCCTTGAGGATCGACATAAACGGAAAAAAGGAAAGACTAAACTCACCAGCCTGGCCGATTAACAAGAAAAACCAAATACTGCCCGTCAAATTGATCACCAATGGAATCGCATATCTGGGGTTTCGCAAAAGATCCACGACTCCGAAGAAGGCGCCATAGAGCTTAGATTTGACGAAAGATTTGGTAACCGCGGGGGATGAGAGAATGGGGTGAGAGGGCGGTTGGTGGGTTCGCGCGGCGGCTCGGATGAATGGGGTTGTGAAGCCCCAGGCGACACCGATGAGGAGGAAACCGATGATGTAGCGGAAGATTGATGGAGCGGAAGTGTCGGGTGGGGTGGAGGTCACTGGGTCTGATAAAAGTGTGGGGGTGGGAGAGGGTGCGATGGAATACATGATGTGTTGATGTGTGATAGATTGAGGGAAGGGGGGAGGTGGGCGATGGGTAGAGAGTGAAGAGTGGAGAGTGGAGAGTGGAGAGTGGAGAGGTTGGTCAGGGGATGTTTAGGTTGAAAGGGTGATGAAGGAGAGTTGTACAGATCTGTAGTAAGATCTTAGGTTTAATTATAATTTTCTTGATGATGTATGGAGAGAATAAGATAAGAAAGGTAATAGAGTAACAAGCTTGGTTTCAATATGTAGCTACCTACCTAGTACGAAGGAACCTAGATGGGTAACGCCCTGGTCGGGATTCGGGGATTAACCGAAGAAGAATGCAAAGCGGCGGTTAATTAGCAATTACGAGCAACAGCCTTGCCGCAAGTTGCCGGCCGGATGGATAAGATTGTTCATCCATAACCAGCAAACAAACAAACAATATGAACCTTGAAACGATGCAAAGTGTTCGGCCTCATCATTTAATAATTAAGACGAAAGCATTATTGGGTGTTGGAGATCTGAGAATCGAGCTAGAATCTCGGTACCTGCATCACCAGACTCCACCATCTCAAATGATTTTCCGATCGATAACACCATCATTTCGCCATCATCGGACATTTGGGTAGAGTTTGAGTGATAGTCACTCCAGCCACTCTTATTAGCATGAGCCACATGAGATGAGGAGTGGAATGTCGGGTTCCAAGGTTCGTGACGCCGTCAACAAATGAAGGATGGATGAGTTCTATTTTTATTCCTTTTTTTTTTTCTCTCGGCCGAGGGATTGGATACCTGGATCGTAAGGGAATCGTGGAAGCTTTGAAAGCTTACCTAGTAGAACAAGGATCACATTTTATACATCGTACAAAGAAAGGCATCTTCCGTCGAGGGGGTGATTCTCAACAGGGATTGAATTATGTACATACAAACATTATTAAACCTAGGTAGGTAAGGTCCCGATTTTCGTCATCAGTGAAATCTACGATAGATAATACGATATGGATATGGATATGATATCTATATCTGGTTCCTGGGTAGATGGGAGAAGGGTGATGGGAGATGGGAGATGGGAGAAGAGTGAGGATTGAAGAGTATGCTCAGGTGATATCAAAACTACGATAATTAGCTGATCAACCAATGTAAACAAAAACATGTCAAATGTCATTCATCAGCTAGCGAACTACCTACCTAGGTACTCACATATAGATATACATCCAATTGAATAGATTCAAAACGCGTAATTCAATACATCATCGGTATTCCATTCTATTTACTCCATGAATGAATTCAAATTTCTTTCTTTCTTTCTTAAAAAACAATCCCTTGGTACACAAAGTAACGAGGGTATGGATGACAAGGATAACACCAGCCTTCACCATTCTTTCTCCACGATCTCAGCCACTCCCTTTAACTCTTTCTCACGCCTTGCACACAGATGAGAGGTAGCATTTTGAACAACTTTCGACTTAATCCACCGGAGACCCGCTTCATTCCAATCAAAACGGATCCCATTTCTCTCTTCTCAAATCAATTCTTTAATATTTCTGGAGTGTCAGCTTTTTTATGATTTATGCTGCATGGAACGGTCTGAGATGCGAGGGTTCTAACGCGATTTCGTACCTACTCGGCGTTCGACTTTGGAATATCAGTTGAGGAATTCCCAAATACAATGCTCAGCGAGAGCTGGTGAGGGAAGAAAGAAAGAGAGAAAGAACGAAAGAACGAAAGAAAGAAAGAACTTGGAAGTTATCATACACGCTCGAGACCGAGATCAACTTTACAACTAGGAGAACACAACCTCAACCACGACCTCGTCCTCGAGAATTACCATATAATAAATCATCATTGGATTATAATATAGTCTTACTTTCTTTGAAGCATTAATAATACCTCACTCTCTTTCTTCATCATGGCCACGAAACTCAAAATGGCGGGCATGCATACCGCTGGAATCTTCTCGGATATGACGGTTGATGGCCCAGTAATTGGTACTCTGGTTGTTATCGTTGATCGAGCCAAGAATTTACCAAACAGAAAGACAATTGGAAAACAAGATCCGTATTGTGCAGCTCGTCTGGGAAAGGAAGCAAAAAAAACGGAGACAGATAAGAGAGGTGGACAAACCCCTCGATGGTAAGTGCCCAATGAGGAGTTTATGTCTGCTGCATTACTGACGAGGCTATCTAGGGATCAAGAGCTCCGATTTACTGTTCACGATTCACCGGATTACTATCAATTGAAGGTCTCAGTATTTAATGACGACAAGAGAACAGATTTGATAGGAGAGACTTGGGTAAACTTACAAGATGTCATTGTTGCAGGAGGGGGACAAAGTGATATATGGCATAACTTAAACTTCAAGGGGAAATATGCGGGAGAGATTAGGGTCGAGATCACATATTATGATAAAAGACCCAAACCAGAGAAACTAGAGAAGAAGGAACCCAAACAAAACTCATCGACAATTACTCCATCTACATCTGTGCAATCGATAACGGATTTCGGAAGTGTGAGTGGAAGTGGAAGTGGGAGTTTGAGAGAAGGAGTTGGTGGGCCAAGACAATTAGGGGTGAAACCAATTGTTAAGAGGCGGCCTCTACCAACCGATCCAATTACTGGAGCTCCAGCGCAACCTCCTGTGGCAGCACCCGCGCCAGCCCCGATCCCTGCTGCGGTATCACATCCTGCCGAACTTGTTCATACTCCTCCACGAGGATATCAGGCCCCATCTACAGTAGACCATGTGCAAATGACCCCTACTCGTGGATATAGAGACTCTCCTTCTGCGATACCAGATCATGTCCAAACCCCACCTCGAGGCTACCAAAACCCACCGACTGGAATACCAGATCATATTCAGACACTGCCGCAAGGATATAAGATGTCTCCGAATGGTATGCCGGATCATGTCCCACGAGGATATGCAAATCCACCGGTAATTCAGGATCAACCTTCGCCTCGTGGATATTCAAGTTCTGCTGCCATGTCTGATCCAATGCAAGCGCAGCGTGGTTATCATTCTCCTATTGTTGGACAGGAGCACGCGCAAACGCCACCGCGTGGATATCAGAACGGATTCGCTCAGGATCAATCGCCTGTACAAAGAGTGGAATACAACGCACCTTCAGCCCGGTATAACCAACCCCAAGGATATGATATTAGTCCAGGATCGACCCCATACGGAGGACCCCAAGACATGATGGTCGCAGCACCACCAAGTTCCCAACCAATGCGGAACAACGATAGATATGAGATTCACGATCCAATGTTGAGAAATGATTACGAAAACGGTCATGATATGAATCAATACGCGGCCCATGAAGCGGATCCTCGCGACAGATATGGAGGCTCTCGTATGTTAACGTATGAGCCTCAGCAGTCAGGTCCATATGAACTTCCGATGAGCCCTGGTCCTCCGCCACCTCCCCCTGCTCATGCAAGCAGACACGTGAGTTCGGTGCCAACTCTCGCGCAACCCAAGGCTGTCCATGGCCGGCCAGTCAGTCGAGGAAATTCCAATCCATACAACACTTCCATGGATGATATGCACCGCCACTCAATGCCTGCTCATACACAACCCACTTCAGCTTACCAGGCCTACAACCCACCAAAGAACGATGACCAATTCCGAAGGTCCGGAAATGGAAACCCTTACCCACCCCGAAAGAACTCTTATGATTCGAGAGATTTGAGGTATAATCCCAGTTATGATGACATGCAGCCGACTGTCGAGGATGCCCCACCCACACCAGCTCCAGGACCAGGACCAAACAGTTATCAGGCTGCTATACCGCATAGGGGTAGTGCACCAGGTGCCATGCAACACCCAGCTGAAGGGATGTATGACCAAGTACCGGCACCATTAAATTTACGACATCGCCCTAGTCGCAATAGTATTGCAACAACTGCCCCGAGTCATCAACATTCGAATAGCTCAGGTGGCTATCCGACATCCAGTTCTATGTCTTCTGTCAGAGATGGGGCTTCTGTAACCTCTAGAAACTCTTATGGCCAACTCCCATCATCCCGCCAAGACAGAAGCCAGTCCCTAGGTGTGCAGAATACTAATGGAGACTATGGTTTGCCTGAGATGCCACCAACTTTGGTACCGGGAATGGATCCAATCATTGCAAAGGAAATCTCGGATCGGATTTATCACGAAAAACGAGCAAGTTATAGCCAAAATCCTGCATCTTCGCAGCGAGGAAGATATCAAGAGATTCCAAGACATCAGCCACAACAGATTCAACAGCCAATACCCCTTCCCTATCATGATAATTCGGCTGTCGTCCCATACTCACCACAAGCAGCATATGACGATCGCCAAAGTCGATACGCTGCGTCTACGGCTATGGTGCCAGTAAAATCTAGGGGCACGTCGCCTAATCCCGGAATGGATAGACGAGGAAATTCGCCTAACCCTATGGATCGAAGAGGCGTGTCTCCCAATCCAATGGACAGAAGAGGTACCTCTCCTAACCCAGCAGTCATGCGAAAACCGGTCAGTCCTGCCCCGGAGCCTCGAAGATTATCTGGTATTGCATTCGGGCCAGATTCATATGATGTTTTCAATCCAAGTCTGACAGGATCGAAATCTGCAACGTCTCTAAGTGCTGCTTATGATCCTAAAGATGATCCCGATGCCAAAATCATTACTTATGATGGCAGGGAAATTGATCCAAGTGATCACATCCCTGAGTCTAATTATGCACCACTCCTTGAACAAAAGGGACCAAAATACGCTTCGCAAATGCCAGATCGCAATTATCGACCTCCACCAGCAGAATACCCAATGCCATCAAATGGTCGTAAGCAATTACGTCAAGCAGGAAGGCCTCAGTCAATGGCTGTCTCTTCCCCAATTTACTTCAGCGGCGGCATTCCTGACAACCCTCCAGCTACCGCTCATAGGAAACTCCAAAAGAAGTCAAACCGCATGTCGGCACAACCTGCATACCATTCATCCCCAAATGTACCGATTTACAAAGAACCAACTTATGCATCTAGTAGAACGTCAATGC